ATGGGGGTTCTTGGGGTGAGGGGGGTGGTTGTGCAGGGAAGGGTGAGGGATTTGGGGGACCTTGGGGGTTGTGGGTTGACTGTTGTTGCATTTTCTCTCTTTCCATTTTTCCATACTTCATGATACTCTTATCCTTTCCTCTTCCTACTCCCTGCCTCTCCCCTCACTAAATCACAAAAATCGAGTTTCTCACTGACAGTGCGTGAGATAGGTATGGTCCCAAGGCACATCGACCGTAGGAGCGGGTGCAGAGGCCAAACCGCACGCTCTACAGACGACACTCGATATCGAGGGGACGAAGGTGACGCCTGGGGATTTGGTGTTTAGTGATCCCTCGAATGGGGTGGTTGTTATTCCGAAAGAGAAGGTTGGGGATGTGCTGGATTTGCTGCCCGGGCTGGTGGGCGCTGATGAGAGGGTTAAGGAGGCGGTTGAGGGGGGGATGGATGTTAAGGAGGCTTTTGAGAGGTTTAGGTGAGAGGGAAGGGAGGGGAGGGAGGGTAAAGGTGTTGAGTGTTTCTTCGCTTCTAGAGGGACATGGAAATCGGATTATGATGTGACTGATGTGCTTGGTTAAGCGAGTGTCTGCTAGAGGGAAGGGAGGGGAGGGAGGGTAAAGGTGTTGAGTGTTTCTTCGCTTCTAGAGGGACATGGAAATCGGATTATGATGTGACTGATGTGCTTGGTTAAGCGAGTGTAGGGAGGGGGGCTTAGTAGGAAGTATTTTTATCACTTTATTTGTCTATCACGCAGAAAATACATGTTAGAGCTGACAATTGAGGAACAGAATTGCGTCAGTCAAGCATTTTTGAATGGTCATTCTCGTGAATATTCAAGACTCGAGCAAGCTCAACCCTCATTCAAATGAATACCAAAAGGTCGCCAAACCAGCTCCTCAAAAACCCCTAATACCCTTGCCTCCCATCCTTAGGCACATACCCCTCCTCCAAATACTCCACATCCTCCAGCGTCAACCCCTCCGCACTAGCAAACCTAACACTCTCCACCGCCTGATCAATCCTCTCCTTAGTATTCAGCCCAATAATCGGGTTCACGGATTCCTTCCCTAGACACCAGGCTATGGCAATCGTCGCCATCGAGACGCCCTTCTTCTTCGCGAGCTCTTCAACCCGCAAAATGCACTGCTTGTCCATCTCGGCTTCCTTGCCGCGGATCATGCCTTTGAGTGCCCAGTCGGATTTCTCGCGCAGCGTGTCCCGGCTGTCGTAGGGTCGCGAGAGAGCCCCGCGGGCCATGGGCGACCAGGGGATGAGTCCTATGCCGGCGTCGCGGCAGTAGGGGATCATTTCTCGTTCTGTGGTGACAACTTGGTCAGTAGGTTTTAGGCTATGGTGGATGGGAGGAATGGACCTTCTTCTCGGTAGAGGAGGTTGTAGTAGTTCTGCATGGAGATGAATTTATGCCATCCCTTCTTATCTGCGATATTCTGCAACGTCTGGAATTCCCATGCGAACATCTGGTATACCGTACATTAGTACTCACACAACACAATCAAAAGAAGGAAGGCGGAAGGGACTCACACTACTAGCACCAATATACCTCACCTTCCCACTCTCAACAACATCATTCAACGCCCTCATAATCTCCTCCCGAGGCGTCTCCCTATCCAACCGATGAATCTGCAACACATCAATATAAGTCCCCAACCGCTCCACACTAGCATCTACCGCATCCAGAATATGTTTCCGACTCAGTCCCACGCGATTAACCAGTTCTCCATCATTCGGCGCCATAAAGTTACTACTATACTCCCCATCCTCCACCACGGGGAAATAACACTTCGTTAATACGACCACCCGACTTCGAGGTATCTCGTACTTCTTCAGGGCCTGTCCGATGATACGTTCTGATTCCCCGTGTGAGTACCCGTCCGCTGTGTCCCAGGTGTTGATCCCGACGTCGTAGGCGTGTTTTAGTAGTGGGAGGGCGTCGGAAGCGTTGAGGACCCAGTCGTACCATTTTGAGGAGCCGAAGGACATTCCGCCTAGGATTACTTTGGAGATTTTTAGGCCGGAGGTGCCGAGGTTTGTGTATTCCATCTTTTCTGTTTTCTGAGGAACGGTTCCTTTTGTTCGTTTTTCGTGTGTTTTTGGGAATTGAGGTTCGTGGATTGTTTTTGTTTGTGAGTGAGGGGTATGGTAAGTCAAATGTATGGATATATAACGAAGCCAAGTATAAGAGGTTTCTTATAGATCCTATGAAGAAAGAATTGTCTTCCTTGGCCTGCCTTTGTCAAATCTTCAGGCTCACACCGAGGGACCTCAGAAGCATATATATATTTGCTAAAGGGTCTTTTCCCCATAGTTAACTCCATCTTTTAACTCCATCAATCCAGACCTGGTGGGGTTGAACTTTTAAGGTTAAAAACAACTCCACAGGTGGAGTTGTGTGGAGTATCCACGACTACGTCCATGTCACCATTTCGACTCGGAACTATGGGTTGTAGAAGTGACTTGGCTGCGGTCTGTGGTCTGGAGTGGTTGGTTGTTGATGAGAGGTTTCTAGTTTATATACTTGAGAGTAGAGTACCGTGATAAATCGTCTCTATAGCATTTGGGTGGGACGACAGTGGATAGCGCTCAAGAGTAGCAGAAGTTGGCAAGATTACCTTTTCGGCCACTCACAGGTTAGCTTTCTATAGGCCCCTAGGTAGCACAATCCAACTGTGATCTTCGACGTATAAGATGGCAACCTAAGAAGGCCTTCACCGCAAACTTCTAGCTACTCAGAGTCTCCGGACAACCCTTGGTACCATCCACTGTCGTCCCACCCAAATGCCATAGAGACGATTTATCACGGTATGTGAACGGATGTGGGCTTAGTACTATACTTTATATAGGATAGTAGGGGCTGTTTTTTTGGTATCTAATCATGCATGTCCACATCTATGAAATCTCCACCGATCGTTTTCAACTTTTCTGTACAAGATACCTACATACCAACTACCGCATTATCTCTACCCATAACAAGAGCGGTCCCTATTTTTTTGAAAAAACAAATCTCTATTCATCTTAATACCAGTACCTATGACCCTCGAATGCGTTGTTGTGGTTCAATCATGGTAGTAATAATAGCGTACCATACTAAATCCGCGGATGATCCCGCACATGAGAGGGGACGTCGACCTTAGCTCCAAAAACTTCTTTTCTTCTCGGAAATGCCGCGGATGTTATGGTATTTACGAAGTACGTGGTTGTTTTGAGTATTTGGGGGCGATGAAGTGGTTCTAAGTAGAGTTGTACTCGACTTTAGGACACATATATTTTTAGACTTGTTGAGTTGTTGAGATGTTCTGAGTTTTTTTGTTGGTTTTGTTGGTTTTCGGATTTAATGCACTACTGTACAGTATTTTCCACTGCCACCACAAAGAAGGAGAGGTCCTCATTACGATGTGTTGGAGATAGCATATCTCGCTGAGCTTGCAAGTACCGATACCCTCCAACCCGATCCTAGTAAACTCCGAAATCTGATAGTCTCACAAAACACAGCAATGAATAAATCTGATTCACTCGTCGTACATCAATGGAATTTACAAAGTTTATCCTCGCGCCCGTACCCCTGCAATTCTTTGCTGCCCCTCGCTAACACGTCACTTTCCCACCCCGCTTCCGCCTTCCGACCCCCTGAAAGGGGAGCTCGATAAGGTTTCTCCCAGCACGGTACAACCCTTATTTGCAAAGCGCGTTGGCAAACGATACCGTTACTATATCCGTCATAATATGAACTCGATACGACCGAGGGGACTGGGGTTGATGACGATATAAAATCTTTGGTATTGAGTACGATTTGGATACGATTGCCAGAAGGAAAAAGCTCCCCAAGAAAGCGATACAGAAGCAAAGATGCCACTCACGATCTTGTCGGATTCGGACGTCAAAGAGGTCCTCCATAGCCTCGATAGACAAGATGTGGAAGTCCTGCTGAGCTCCTTGAGAGAAGCTTTGCATGAGTATTCGACGGGGACGAGTACCGACGGAGCGTGTTCGGGGAACCAACCTGAGAGGACGGTCATTGAGTCTGGGAAGGGGAATACGACGCTGTTCATGCCGAGTACCAGTTCTTCAGGAATCGGGATGAAAGGTACTGACCATCCCCTCCAATTCCACTCCCAAATACATGGTAGACACATACTAACCCTCTACAAAGTCGTAACCCTCGCAACCGCCTACCGCCCTCACTCCCCCATCACCTCCCTCAACGGCACCCCTCCCAAGATCCAAAACAACACAAACACCACCCCCCAAGGCGCCCTAACCCTCATGGGCAGCGACGGGAAACCCTTCGGCTTCCTCAACGCCGAAGAACTAACCGCCTTCCGCACCGCCCTCGCCTCCTCCCTCCTCGTCGCGCGTCGCCGGAAAGTAAAAAACATCGTCGTCTTCGGCGTAGGAAAGCAGGCATACTGGCACATCCGCCTAGCCCTGCTCTTACACGGCTCAACCATCAAACAGGTCCAATTCATCAACCGCTCCTTCTCGGACCGTGCGAAGGAGTGTATGCGCGCCTTCATCGGACATGATGGCGAGACGAAGGAGAAAGAGGGATGGGCCGGTTGTAAATTCGCGATGATGACGCGGGATTACGGCGAGTATGAGAGGATGGTGAAGGAGCAGATACGGCAGGCGGATGTGATCTTTACTACGACGCCGAGTACGGCGGTGTTGTTTGATGCGACGATTCTGACGAATACAGAGGGGAGGAAGAAGGGGAGATTGATTGTTGCAGTGGGGAGCTATACGAAAGAGATGATTGAGGTTCCACCTGAACTATTGGTGCAAGCTACGAAGAAACATGGTGGGGGTCATCATTTCCACAAGCACGCCGAGGAAGGAGGGGTCATCATCGTCGACACACTATCCTGCGTTTCCCAAACGGGAGAACTAACCCAAGCGGGCATCAAAGAGGTACAAACCGTCGAACTCGGCGAACTCGTCATGTTAGAACGAATGGACAGCGACGACGACTCCCTCCTCACCCCCACCGACTCCCCCCCAACAGAACCCACCCTCGAGCCCCTTACCCCCATCGACGGCAAGCAGCCCAAATCCCTCTCCTCCATCTTCGGCACCTCCTCCCCTTCAACATCCACCTCCCAAACCCCCTCTCGAAGATCGTCTTTCAAACTCCATAAACGCTCCTCCTCGACTTCCACACCGCCACCTACCCTCAACCACCACCGCACGAATAGTACGAGCAGCAGCGGTACGCGCAAGAAGAAGAGTAAGAAGCAGACGGAGAGGGAGCATGAGATGTGTCGGTGGCTGGCGACGGGCAATGTGGTGTATAAGAGTGTGGGCATGGGATTGATGGATTTGGTGGTGGGGAGTGATTTGGTTGCCCTGGCGAGGGGGAGGGGGGTTGGGGTTGTGGTTGAGGGGTTTTGAGGAGTGGTGTGTGATGTGTGATGGGTTGATAAGGGGTAAGGTTAGGTTGGGTTGGGTTGGGGATATGGGTAGAGGGAATGGAGCTATGAGACTGGAGGTGTTGGGAAGCTTTTTTCTTTTTATCGATTATTGGTTGGATGTTGGATATTGGATACCCTGGGATTAGTGGATGAAGTCATGAGTCAATGATTGAGAAAATAAATGGTAGCGTAGATGAGGAATTAGAATTGTACTCGGTGATACTATACACTAATCTTGAACAACTTTTCTTGTAAGATGTGAGGTTATAAACTACCTACACCTTTTGAGAATTCAAGGGTTGTAGGAAGGTAGTATCTTCCAGAGTGTACTTGAGTTATTTACCCTTACCCTTACCCTTACTTACTTTCTTAATACATTAGGATGTGAGTTACTTATATAACATCGAAAAATATATAGTAATCAATAGTATACAGTATTAACAAATTATTAGGCAATAAATATCGGTAAATTAATTAACTGATACTTTATTTGTTAGAAATTTACTTTACTTGGAATTAGTATAACACATGAGCAACATAAATCAAATTTGCTAAAAGAACTATAGGTACTAATGAAAAAGTAAAAGTAAAGAGAAAAGGTAGGAAAATCCTATCCCTTCCATCTATTCATCCATCCCTATTACAATACCACATAATATGTTATTCCCGCTCTCCCAAGGACCAGATATGTGTCCAATCCACACAAGTATATCATCTCCCCACCTCCTCCTTTCCATCCCCCTTCTTTCTCCCCCTTCTCAAAACCACCTACTCCGTAGCCTTATACTTCTTGTTAAACTCCCCCACCGCAACCCCAATCTTCCGATACAAAAAATTCCGACTACTCTCCTCAGCAACCGGAACAAACGGCCCATTCGTGCCGCCCCTCAGCGTCAAACTCAAGCCCGTCCGCTCCTTACTAATCGTCTGAATATCCTTGAGCGGGACATCCCATTCCGACGTCAACTTCTTGCTTTTAATGAGCATGATCCGCGAGTACGTAAGCATGACCACGACATCCTCCCGCGGCAGCTCCAGATGCGCAATGTACATCTCGTTAAAGTACTTGCCGTTATCGAGCTGCTTGAGCCAGAATTGCCCTAAGGCTTCGCGTTGCGAGTAGGGACGGACGACGCCGTCGGTGCCGATGAAGCGGGTTAGACGGACGCGGTCAAGTCCCTCGCCGTCGAAGACGGTGGTGGTGTTGCGGATGCCTTCGCTGACGTTGGAGGCGAGGTCGAAGACGCCGATTGCGGGTTTGGTTGCGAATCCGAGAACGCCTTTGCCGACTCCTTTGAAGAAACCGGCGACGCCTTCTTGTTCTGCGCCTTCGAGAGGTTTGCGTGCTAGGCCTCCGACGCCGCTTGCGAGACTGCTGACGAAGGAGTTGGCTCCTGCTGTGACACCGTAGAGTGCGTGCTTGGGACGATTTCTTGATCGTGTCATGCGGCGACGGTCTTGGAATTGTTTGTCCATTGTTGCCTCAGCAAGACCCTTGGCGATACTACCAGTGACCTTGGAGAAGCTGTCAGAGAAGCCAAAGACGGACTTCTTTACGAAACTGGTAGCACCCTTTGCAATTCCGATACCAAGTTGTTCAGGTCTATCTGCCATGATGAAGCCTTGGTATGGCTCGTAAAAGATATCAGCAACACCAGAGCTGAGATTGTTGAACAACCCAACTGGATTACCGAGGAAATCAGCCGAACCGAGAATCTTGTGAACTTGGTAAAGACCTTCCTGCGAGTAATGGTTCGAGACGTTTTGTAGCAAAACAGGCATTGAGACTCGGGCATTTTCCAACATGAGTGCATTGAGACGGACTGGAGCATCGTTGATATTTCCAATAGCCATTGTCAAGACGTTCAAGAAAAACATCAATGGGTTTTTGGACGATGTTTTATCCTCAACGTTGACCCGATCTGTACGTACGAATGACAAGTCGAGCTGCATGGGCTGCAAATTGAGCAGCTCAAAGTAGATATCTTGACCCGATTGTTCTCGCTTTGGTTCTGGAATATCCAAGTTCTCATCGCACAAAACACCCTCGTGTGTTTCTGACCAACTGGCCCCGGGCACTTTCGAGAATTCCAAAAGAGCCAAAACGAAATCTTCATCGATTTCGAGGGTCATCTGCTGTAGCAAAACCGTGGCATATTTGATATACAAGACACCATAAGAATCATCCTTGACTCTAGTTGCTTGAAAATGGACCGACGGATGAGATTCCGTCTCCTTCGTGTTCTTTGGTACCACACTAGGATAGAGGATCATAGGGAATATGCCACCATAAAGTTGGTTGTCCACTTGAATCCACTTGATACCAGCTGTAATTGTTTGGAAAAGTGGAGATTCGGAATACTTGAGAGAAATATCTCTGAATGTAACATAGGCGAGTTCTCTCAGCTGGGCATTGATTAAAGAGATACCAAAACCAGCAAGCTTCAACTGTGCGCGGAATGTGACACCGGTGTCTTGATCCTTGACCTCGAACCCACCAGCAACGCTGCTTGTAGACTCTGATCGCGATTTCTGCTTGTACAAACTCTTGGAAGCCTTGTAGTTCGATAGAATCAACGTCTGAGTAGGACCGTCTGCCGTAACATTCAAGTCGATAATCTTCGACTCTCCTCTCGACCCCTGAGGTGTGTGTGGTGCCGGTATCTTCAGCGGTATCAAGTTTCCAATTTCTGCGAGTTTGATGTGTCGTTCTTTGCCATTCCCATTGATAATCAACTCCTTGACCTTCGCTGCGGGATAATCCCAGGCGTATGGCATGATACTTCTCGGAGGTAGTCGGTATCTGATAGGGCGCCATCCTGAACGATCTTCAGAATCCTCGTCATCAAGATTAGGGTTTGCTTGGAAGAACATAAACTCAGTATCGCTCTCATTTCTCATCGAGAACGGCCAATTCTTTGTCTCTGCACTGAGATGCAAGAATATTGTGGCATTCTCCATGAGCACCTCCACACGAATGAGTCTTTGCCGCTGCCCAGCTTTGGCCAACTTGATATGTGTAGTACCAAGATCCGAAATGTTGAATGGGGATGACCACTGGTTATTTACACCAAGGAAGCATAATGAGAGTTGCTTCCGAGCACTCTTTTGCAAGAAATGAAGCGGTTGCAGAGCTTGAGGTTTCAGCGTCATGCTATCGGACGATCCCGGCTCTCGAACACTGATTTCTTCATCCATACGATTTTTAAGAACAAATCGCGGGGCAAGAGTAACGACCTTGGTCATCTTGTATTTGCCTTCTCCCGATTCTACCGAAATTCCCACATGGATTTCGGTGTCTTGCGAGGGGGATGGCAAAACCACATCAGTGGTACTCCCGATAGCATCGAAACTTTGAGGCTTACTCCAATTGGAGTCTCCGACTTTAAGGATTGCTCGATTCCGCTGGTCATCGCCATTAAATGCAAACATATATGGTAGAGCTTTTCGCCTCTCACTATCTGCCGAGTCTGTTCGGAATTGACCAGCAGCTGTCTTGGCCCCTTGAAGAAGCGATTTTGCTTTAATGTTGATCGCGAGACCAGTCTTGTTCAGTATGACATAGGGGCTATATACGGTAACTCGGAATGCCCCACCGCTGTCGGGTATCTTATGGTAATGGAGCTTGAGACTAAGGGAAAGTCCTTCGCTATCTTTGACAACCAGACTTGACTCCTTGCGATAATCTTCTTGGTTGTTTGAATTTATAATGGCAAATTCACTGGCTTTAAAGACCGTGTCTTGCATGTCGATGCTCATGAGTAGCAGATGAGACAGCTCGACAACATGAACTGGGCTCAATCCTCCTTTGCGAAGGAAATTAGTCCAGTCTTTCTTCGTGTTTTTGTCGTAGATTCGGTACTTGAAGTCATAAGGTAGCAGATTCTCCAGCTCTATGGGGGCAGAGAGCCGTATTCTCATATATGGATAAATGCTAAGAACATATTAATAGATAATTGAGTACAGCAAAAAGGGAAATATACCTAGGTAGAGGGCTGCTCTTGTCATAACTAGCATGCATTTGAAAGAAGAATGGAGGGGTTTGTTTATCGTTTTCACCCTTGCACACCAAGGTTTTCGTTGGTCTTTTCAAGAGATCCTTCCAGAACAATGATTCAGTGGACCACGAGTAGCCAAAGCCTTGATCGGGCCTGATAAGTAGAGACTTCAAGTAAGCAGCCCCGACTGGAGCAGGTCGACTTTCTCCTGGTGCAATCTTCTCAATCTTGAGCAAATGTCCTTCCTGGGCGTCGAAAACTCCCAGCTCAACTGGAATCTGCGTCTTGTTTTCCACCAAGAGAGGTGATCGGAACGTGATACACTTGACATTATCGTCACCGAGCGTAACTTCAACAAGGAGTCGATGAAGAATTTGACCCTTTCGGGGACGCAAACTGTAGATTGTTTCGCCTTCACGGGTGATAGGAATCTTGTTGATGCTATCAAACCCACTACCCTCGAGACGAATACCAACCACTCCTGTACTATTTTCCGGGGACAAATTCTCACGCATCTTCTCCCAATCTTCGAATCGCCAAGGCCCTTCTTCTCCATCCGCCAATTTAGCAGCCATTTGGTTCTCCTCGTCAGAGACATCAGCCCAAATGTTGATGTCAAATCCAGTGTAATTCCTGATTCGATACGGGGCCTCAGTTCCTCTTGGTTTCGAAAGAATATCATCTTCCTGCGTGAGAAAGTCCGCCGACTTAGACGCCAAGGCAATGGTTGCCGATGTAATTGTCAGTTCAAGCATCTTTTCTGAGACCAAATTGACAGACAAAGCATCCGGTGAAGTCTCCTTTGAAACCTCAAGACCAAGTTGCCACGGTTCAATCAGAGGTTCCCATGCCGACTTTGAGAAGTTGTAAATATTGACGAACATATCGATTTTTGTACCTGCTTTCAATGTGCTAGTCCAATCTGTTGCGGTGGTAGTGAAGTTTCTGATACTGAGATCGAGTATTGGTAACTCATGGAGGTCGCCAATCAAGATCACCCTCACTCCATCTAACATAGCAGTGAGTTCCTCATGTTTTCGAATGACCCGTTTTCCTGGCTTATCATTCTTTTGCTGCGATGGTGCAATTGTAGTTGCCTTGGTCTTTTTACCGATTGTTGACAACCCTTTACCACTTGCAGTCCGCTGCTTCAGACTGGAATTAGATGTCTTGAGCTGTTTGGCCTTCTGAGCCGAGGCTGCTGCCGGCGTTTTGTCCTTAGATTCGTCGTCACCAGAAAGCTCAGAGGCTTTCGTTACGATTTGAATGGCGAGAAGAATATCTCGAAGCGACAAGCGTAGAACCAAAGGCTCTATGTCAATATGAATGCTGGTCATATCTTTCTGAGAACTGTCGAGTGACATTTGCATTGAAAAGTCGTCCAGGACACGCAATCGACTGTCCTCGAAGCGATCCATGCGACATAAGAACATGCCCATATGTTGAACCTGAAGGGTCAATGCATGTTGCTGTGCCATTAATATTTGCTTCGTACCAAGAACAATGGCTTCGGAACTCGAGCTAAGAGGATTGGCGATGAGGATGATTTGTGCATTAACCACGTTAACTCTGAATGCTACAGACATAGGAGATCCTGTGGCAACTTCTGATTGTTCACTGCTAGATCTGCTGAGTGTCTTGGTTCTCACCGGCGCGGATCTCCCGTCAACCAATGCCATGATTGAATCAGTCTCTGACTCTTCCGGAGAAGAAAACATGCCTTCTTCCTCTGTCAAAGGCTCATCTACTGCAAGACCAGCAGTCACGAAAGACTGCAAAGCGAAAATGTAATCAAGTGCAAAGATAACCCGAGGGCTATCGATGGCCACCATGGCAATAAGACTGCGTTCTTTTCCGCCAGAGATAGTCAAGCTCGCCATGAATTGTTGAACATCCTTGTTCAGTGAAGTCATGATCTTTCGAAATTTGTTCGTCTCTTTAGTCCTACTATCTTGTATGGTAAAAGATTGTATCAGCAATTCAGACTCTAAAGAACCGTCTGTCATCATGCGAAGTTTGACTTTGGTATCGTCGAGCGAAAATTTGGATAAACTGGAAGCATCAAGATCTCCAACAGGTTCGTCTTCCTTGGCCATAATAAGCTCCAGTCCAATGGTGTGCAGATGGAATGCAGAATCAAGTTTAGTCCAGCTTTTCGCGGGAGCTCCCAACTCCGGTCCAAGGTCAACAAGAGCCTCAGAACTTCCAGATGAGTCTTCACTTGGTAATGTTCTCGCCTTTTGGAGGGTCGACGCTGGTACTTCATCACTGGCTGACTTTTCGTCATTAACAGGATCAGAAGCAAAAGCGGCTGGTACTGATCTCGAGAGCTCCAAAAGAAATTTGAGTTGCAATTGAGTAAGGCGCAGATTTAGGTCGGTCATGCTTCCATCGATTTCCAACTCAGGCCGCTTGGAACCGTCGACATGCTCTGCATAGATAATCTTAAAGGCAAGATCCACTTTATCAATAAGCTCGAGCTCTTCTGATTTATCTCCATCGAAGTAGAAATCCGATGTTAGACGAATGTTTCTGATACCTGCTGACAGATTCATGGCAATGGCAGAGTCTTCTGAATCGTCCAGCGGAACAAATTTGTTCTCAGCATATATCTCTCCCAGATATGCTGTTATCAAATCACGCTTCGGGCGACCGGCGACCATGTCTCTTGGGAAGACAACAATTGGAGTCTTGATATTGATATCAAACTTGATACGGTTTGCATTTTGTTGGATCTGGGAAGCTTGATTTGCCGCAGCTTGTCTTGCAGCATTGAAAATCGCTTGCATCTTTCCAAACTTGACCAAGAAATCGATAATCTTTCGGAATGGCTCCTCCAAGAAATTCAACTTGATAGACCCGGCACGGAGGAAGATAGAAGAATCGTATCCAGGGTAGGCAGTGCCCTCAGGGTCGAAAGTCTCGTAGCGGAAATCAGCAAGATCGTCCCCCTGGATGGTAATCAATTTCCTCAGGTTTGAGTCTGAAGATGCTCCCTGATTGATGTCATCAAGCAAAGATAAATCACCCAATTTAGCTCCGATGCGCAAGGTTTTGCCCATAACAAAAATCCCGACATCAGCTTCATTTAGTGAAAGAGTAGCAAGGCGAATTCCATCATTATTGAGAATGAGCCTGATACTCTTGAGGTCGACTTTGATTCTGACAGAGCTGGTGTTGTTGTCCTGGGAAGCGACGGCAGGCTTTGCAACTTGATGCTCTTCATTTTCTTCATCCAATATTTCCTTAGGTGCGGTGATCGCTGGCGCTGGGCCTTCAACTGCCGATTCATTGTTGGCAAATGTGACCAGAATAAAATCCAGAAGTGTAAGGAGGGTTTTTCTAGTGACAACCAAGTTGATAGTAGATATGGCCACGTCAATATTCACTTCGACCCCTTCGTATTTTGGCATAAACTCGGGCGATTCTCTTTTGACCTTGACAATTTTCACACTCACAAGATCCTTGGGAGTCTCGGAATCTTCATCACCAGATGATAGAATAGACTTGAACTCCGCAGGCGGATTGTCTACGTAATCGTCCAAGACCAAAGATTCAAGGGACGTCTCTATGATCAAATCAAATGGTCTTACTACAAGATCAAGTGAGAAGTTTTCCGCAACGAGTTCAGCGAGAAGTTGATCTGGCTTCCTTCCTTCGGGATCGCTTCTGAATAGAGAACCCTGTAGACGATCCACCTCGAATATGAGCTGGAAGTTCCGTTGTTGGATCCTAAGCTTCTCGCTCTCCGACTCATCAGTTGCGTCTTGGAACTCTGCGTCATCAGAGTCATCGGAATCGTCTTCGAGAATTATTGCTTCCTGCGGAGAAAAACTGAATGAGGTAGATTGAGACCTCTCACGCATGTCCTTCTTCGAAATTGTGCTCTGTGTTCTAGGTCGTGGGGTTTGCACCGCAGTCTCCCCATCTGACTCTTCTACAGCTGCTATATCTTCGTCCAAGTTTGGTATTGCGACTTCTAAGATTCGCATCAGGCTCTTGTACTTCTTGTCGGATACTGAGGCGTGAAGCACTGGGAGATGCCCAGATAACCGAACTTTTGTAAGATTCGGAGCTTTGGGGATGATAGAAGTCTCCACAGTCAAATCGATGTTGATTTTCTCGACAACATGCATTGACTGCGACTCATCGCGGTTTTCCAACTGAGCCTTTGTTTCTTCGATAGAAGGACCGATCAAGAGTTGGGTTGATGAGAGCTTCACAAGAAATTTGTCGTACATCAAAGATTCAAGTCGCTTATAATCCTCTTCGGTGTATGATTGCCTTTGCTTTGCTTGAACATCTTTCAAAGTTTTCTTGTCAACAAGCTGGCTGGTGACACTAATATGACCTGCATCAAGAATCAAGCAAATGGTTTTCTTCGAAGCTATATTTTCAGGGACAATGATCAGAGGTGCTTGAAGGTCGAGCTTAGCATTAATTGTCTTGTGCTCCTCGAGCGCAAATTCAAGACCGGCTCTGGTTTGCTGACGAAGCCCTTCCACAGTCGCACCTGCACTTTCCATGAGTGCGCCAATTGATTCCATATGTCTCTCAGGGGGTTTGAAGAAGTCAATGATTCCGATGAGGAAGTTTGGATTCCAGATTATTTCCAAGGGCTTCAATTTCCCGGTAAGAGCTAAGTCACTGGCGCCATCAAGAGGATTCTTTTCAAATTGGAAGCTGAAGAATGGGTCGTTTCCGGCCTCCTCATCATGATCACCATCGTTGTCAATTTGAAGTTTCCTTGGTGCTTCTGGGGCATCTTTAACACGGACAATTTGAGTGAAGAGACTATCAGGTGTCGTTCCGTCATTAACTCTGAACCCGCCCAGACTAACATCAGCAAGGAAGGATTCTGGCCTCTGGAGAAACTTGGCTTGGAAACCATCAAAGAACAGACTCAAAACTTCATTGACGTTTTGGTGGGGATCACGTTTGAGAGTAAAACTTCCAGTATTGAGCGAGGCATTGACTTGTAGCTTGACAGTCTCCTTCGGCAGATCAACGCTTTCGGCAAGGGCAGTTTTTTCGTCCCATTCGATAGCATCGTACAGTTCCTTACGCTGTTCTTCGGTCATTGTGGTCTCAGCATCCTCTTCTTCCTCTGCTGGTTTCGAGCCCCAGGCCCACGCGACCCAACCTTGCTTTTGCTTGGTCGTGGTTGCTTTCTTGACCCCAACGTTCTCCTTCTTTAATTGGTTTCTGGCTAACGACCTCCAGAATCGCATGTCTTCGTAATCAAGCTTCCATTCGAGGGCATCAAGTTCTTTGACTTCCTCGGGCGAAAGCTGCTCGGCTTGCTTCTTTTTCTTCTTGAAAAGTTCGATGTAGCGAATTCGGTCATCGCGCCTCTCCTTGAAGTAGGCCCAAGACCAACGCCGATTCCGCTCGTGGATTTTACTCAGAACAGCATCAGCCGCAAATTTGAGCCATGCTCTCGGATCCTCCTTTGGAGATACCCCTTTTGGTTGTAACTTTTTATATTCTTGGTGACGAATAAAGTAGTGGAACAGATCCACCATCATCAAGGCATCTCGATATTGGTCATCGTCCAATACCAATCCAATTTCATCAAACGACAGACCCGCTTTGATATGCGGCCTATCAACCTTTCCGGATTTATCAATCGCAATCTTCGCCGAACCGCTGACTGGCTTCAAGATAAATTGGTGGTTTGCGGTGCTCGGATCCTCTCCCTTCACGATCATCTCCTTGAATTTCTCCAGCATTTCGTCGTGAGAAGCGACCTCCACACCAGGAACGTCTGCTTCTCTGCCAGTTCCCAGTAACGAGCTATCTGTATTCCAGTACACAGCCAGTGCACCCAAAGTGGCAAGTTTATGTGTAGGACCGGCTGAATCTTGAATATAGGTTGGTTTCCATTCGCCATCTGTGCTTATTGCACTGAATTCTTCGAGCGTGAGGCCTAAGGAGAAAGGATGTCCTGGGGCAGATATAGAATCTTCGTAACGAACATGGATGTTCTTGATCTTGATCTGTAGATTATCGACAATCTTGGTCACCAAGCTTTCCGTAAAGCTCTGGTTCTTCTGCTGCTCTTCCTGGCTCATCCCTTCCTGGTTCCGGTCCTTCAGAAGTTCTGCACTGTCTAATTTTTCGATTTTGACAGCCTGTTTCCTCCGCTCCTCTTCCTCCTCGTCATATTCCGCATCTTCTTTTGGTGCAGCCAGCAGGAAAACATCTTCTATTTCAACCTGCACGGGTTGACCCCGCAGATTTGACCATGGTATTTTGAGTGTGAGTTGTCCCAGGTGACCCTCGACCACATTTATAGGAAGCTTCAGCTGGTCCAAAGCTTCTCTGCGTAACTCGAGATCCCGCAGCTTAACATCGCCAGACCATATTCCGACCTTTAGTTGTCCCGGGTCGAAATTCCGTATGTACATGCCCAGAAAGCGGTTGAGCAGCGAGGATACCAGTCCTTCCAACATCTTGACGGTCGGAGGGGGGTTCGACTGGGACTATTCGATCGGGTTGTTCAAGGAGGGGTTGTTGTCTGCATTTGCAGAAGCAAACTCGATCGCAGAGAAGGAATTATTTCGTGCTGTTCATCAGGTAGATTTCAACTCATCATCGGTGTCTTCTGTGTTCGTGCCGTTCGTAAATCGTGTCTCGTCTCGTCTGCTCTGCCTTTTTCGTCAGATGTGATGTGGCGTGGCAGTCAGTCTGTGTTTGCAAATCGCAGATTCCCCGCCAATTGTACTAGGTTGGGCTGCAATGTAGATGGAGAAAGTATCAGGGGCAGAGGTAGCTGTAGCTGTAGCTCTTGACGAGGTGCAATAGGTCAGTGCAATTTGGTGGTTATTGTGGCGGGATTGAGGGCATTCACAGCTGCGTTTTACAGCGCGATAGAATCAAAATGTAGTTTCGAGAAACGCAATTCTGATGATGTAACTTAATACTTCTGCCTACAGTTTTCATCGCAGCTTTTTACTGGCTGTGCTTCTGAAATGTGCCATGCTGTGCAGGGCATTTCCAGGCTTGCAGATCGCACCTACGTCACCTACATGGCCCGTGTAGTTTGTGTATGAGTTCTACAGGGTACAGCTGAGTGAAGCTCTTGCTCTGGAGGGGTTACCTAAGAAATTAATCTCATCTCCCCTCAACACTTTGTAGGACATTACAATACCATTGATTCTTCTCTACTCGTACACTCCCAAGAAACCCCCTCTCCTCTCAATCATCTGTGTGACTTGTTGCGTCGTTGAGCACAATTCACCATCAACAAAGGCAAATTGCGGGGCAGCCTCCGTATTAGAAGACTTGAACCACCTTCTGAGGGATAGGTAAACCGCAAACAACATGTTTCGCACCACTGGAACCCGGACCCTGCTGAGGAGCTTCCCAAGGCCTTCAACTACGAGATCGACTTTCAGTACGACTTCAATTGCTTTGCGGGATCCTACTTCACTTCGTCAGCCGACCAGGAAACGACCTAATACCTTCGTCGCTCCTTGTCAACCTCTTCCAAAGATACCAGCTCTGCTCTATGCAACCAAACCGCAACCACCTTTTGATCTGGCCGATCACAAGGTAGAAAAGGCTATTGGCGAACAGAAAATCCCAGCTGATCCAAAAAATGTCTCCTCTGGCTCCAGTGTTCGCCATATATTGGAGGGTAAACCACCAGCTCAGGGAGGAGACGACATGATGGCAGGAATAAAATCAGATGTCATCACTATCAAAGACACATTCTCCCTGAACGAGGTACCCCGAGCATCGTTATATCTCGGAGCCGCTGGCGTTCTTCCTTATGCAGCCACTTCTCTTTCGACTGTCTACCTGGCTTGGGACATCAACCACAGTCATGCCACTGGCCAGTCCTTTCTTTTCTCGCCAGAGACGGCGCATCAGCTATTGGAAACAATATTCCCAATACAGATTGGATTCGGTGCTATTGTAAGTATCTACTTATTCAGTTTCGAAAACTATACTGAACCCTGATATAACAGATCATCTCCTTTCTCGGCGCCATCCACTGGGGATTGGAATACGCAGGATATGGCGGCTACCAGAGCTACCGCAGATACATGTACGGTGTCATTGCACCAGCAGTAGCCTGGCCAACCCTCTTGATGCCCGTGGAATATGCCCTCATCACACAATTCTCGACGTTTACCTTTATGTACTTTGCCGATGCGCGAGCCACGGTTCGGGGATGGTGTCCACCGTGGTATGCAACCTACCGATTTGTCTTGACATTCTTGGTTGGTGCGTCGATCATCGCGACACTGGTTGGAAGGGGACAAATCGCTGTCTCGGGTCATGGGAAGTTGACGAGTCCTGTTGATTATGTTAAGCAGGATCGTGATGCTCAATGGTTGGCTCTTGAGAAAGAGGAGAAGCAGAGACGTAAGGAGTTAGCTGCTAAGGAAGAGGAAGATGAGGAGGAGGCTGAGGAAGAAGAGGAAGAAGAAGTTGAGGACGAGAAAGATGGCAAGGACGAGAAGTCGAGTAAGAAGGACGAGAAAAAGGATGAGGGAAAGGACGAGAAGAAGGACAAGAAAGATGACGAATCAAGTAAAAAGGACAAAAAGGCCGACGGTGATAAGAAGTGAATGGAGGCCAGGCGTAGTCCAGTTGTCTCGACAAAAATTTAATAGCAGACGCTTATGTACAGTACATGTAAGATCTTACAACTAGGGTTTTCGGGTCGGAGCTGGAGCTGGAGGCTGGATCCGCAGCCCGATCTTCTATTTCCTACTTCATATACAATGAATTAATAGTTTCCATCTGTTTCAATGATACAAGTAGGGGTTTCTGGTTAGGGCTGTAGGCTGGAGCGGTAGTTCTATTTTCTGCTTTATATATAGTATAATGAATTAATATTTATCGTCTGGTTGATTCGATGAGACCAACTGTACCTTGCAAATCGATTTTAATTGTTTCCAGTGGGTATTAGCATTTCATATTTCCTATTTCCTCCATATATATTCAATGAGAATATCATAATGTATGTAGAGCAACTTGTTTTTACCTAGGTAGATAGATGCCTACATAATCCAACCCTCTTTACTACAATATAGTATTCCAACGACGACCTACCTAGTGTTGTTTATTACATGTAAAAGGCGACTTTACTACTTAGTTTACGGTCTGACTCTTAAGCTTCGAATCTGATTCTCGTATTAGCAAAGCGATGCGATGTAATGCTATGCGATGTAATGCTATGCGATGTAATGTAATGTAATGTCATATCGCCAAGTTAGTCATTCGGTCGGTCGGACGCCCGCACGGAGATTGTAATTGATGACTGTACTGTATAGTACTAGCGACCATGCCGTATGTAAGCGTACTGTATGTAAGCATTTGGGGAAGAGGTCGGAGTTCCTGTTTGAAGCGCGATGTGATGTGATGCTATGTGATGGTATGTTGGGGAATGGATAGGGTGGATAGGGTGGGATGGGATGGGATGGAAGAGGTTTGTTTGGCTTTCGCTTTGGATGTTTTTTTTTGTTGTTTTTTGGTATATGGTGCGTAGGGATGGGTTAAGGGGAGATGGGGTTTGAATTTTGGGTATGACATAGGGATTGTTTTATGGTCTAGTATGTGTTATACTTTTTTATAGGGGAAGGTATGTGTAGGTATTTAAAGATGGAAGAGGGGAAGAGGCACTGTACTCGCAGACGTAAGGTATAGAGATATAGGATAAACCAGATAGCTCTATAATTTTAAGATCCTAGAGATGTACTGTACTACTTTGAGGTAGATACAGCGTTCGGTAAATAGCACTCGATTCTGTATGGAATATGAGTATTTCCAGGCCTCCTTACTATATAAATAGAACCCTTATTTCTATCGAATAGGCTCGGGAATTCTATATATAGGATTATGGAATCCGAAAGGGTTTTTTAACGAATAAGAAAAGTCAAGTATCCAGGGAGGGGGGCAGTGGGGGGCATGATATAGAATGGAATTCCTGATGCCGAACGTGGGGTAGATAAGGGATATAATTATAATACTTCCTGTGGTATTATAGGTAGTATTGGGCGACTTCTGGGAAACTTTACTGCTTTTTACGACGGAAGGGGTGGGATTGTACTTAAGTGAGAGAGGTAAATACTTGGGGGTTTGTTGTGAATTGTAATGCCGTCTTAGCTCTCACGCCACACCGCGATAATAGTATTATAGAACCTGGAAGGGATCTACATTATCCTGAAATACCGAGTAGATCTAGACCCAAATTTGTCTGCAGGAAGCGATTCACTGTCCATCGTACTAAGTACGCTTCTAGTAATGTACTTCGAACTAGAAGTATGGCACGAGATATCAAAAGTGCACGATACCTACAGTAAGATACTTCTAGATGCCCAAGCAAAGTACCCAATACCTACAGTACTCCTAGATAACCAAGCAAAACGGTGAAGAACCGTTGGGCATCTACGCTGAAAGCGGTGTATCATCCGTCTGGTCCGGTCCTCGAGGCTACCTAGTCTACTTGGTATGGACAAAGGTCTAGATCAAACGTTTTAAGGTTGTCGGACGGTAAGTGGATCTCTAAGGGGAAGAAACGAGCAAAGGAAACTCTGGCGAGGTATCGACCGATGTTTTTCGATGCTTCTGTACCTACTATTCTTGTGGGGATATCGCAAGGCGAGAAGTGGGGTTCTAAGGTTCTTTACCGACTTTATTGCAGCCGCTGAGCAAGCCGAGTGCCTGAGTCGGTGGAGGGGTGTAACCATTCACAAATCGATGAAATACCAAGCCGGGTCTCGCTATCCTTTCATGAGGCGCCTGATGACACAGGAGGGACCCTGCATTTCTCGTCCTACCTAAGGCGACCTTGGGAATTCAACTTCTTGAATTTTATACTGAGTTTTTGCACTTGCTTGTCGACCCCTGTTGGCGTGGTGATCACCTGAAGCTTCTTTCTTCAGATGAAAAACCGAACACTTCGCGCGTCATATACTCGGAGGCGCAGAAACACATGAATTTTGTGGTTCACGATGGTACTGAGGGGTACTGATAAGGGAGAAGTACATGTGATGGTTCTCTGATAGTGTCTTGAGAGTATGGTTGAAAATGGGCTGTATGAGTATATCGGGCAGCTGACATATCATCGGCTGACAACACATCTCAGACCATCTCGTCACAACGAGAGATCGTGATCCATCCAGACAAACCCCTCCCTGCTCCTCTCTGCGCGCCCTCTCCAAAAGCTTGATGCTTGTCCTACAGACCAATGCAACACAAACCCTCCCGCACATCATCGCTCCCAAGTGCCGATGCAACGCACGCTTCCCCTGCTGCCGCCGCTCTGCTTGCCTTGCGAGCTTGCGGAAGAGGATTTGCTCATGATTATATTGGCATCGGGTCATACAAGTCCTCGACTGCGCATATCCTTCAAGCATTTGGGGACACAGCTCTCTCTCGTTGCTGGTCCGGAGAGGCGTGTGTAAGTGCGCAGCGCATCTCTAAGCATTCTCCCAGAAACCGAGATGTGGGAGTCGAATAGGAAGTCCTGGAGTTGACGGAAATGGCCTGTTGGAGGGCTGCTGGCTTAGCTGTGAGTAGGCTTACCACGCATCCTCATCGGAAGTGTCGGAGTGCCCCATCCCCATCTCCTCTTACCACACCAGAAAAAGTGTTGGTCCACTATCAAGGTCGATTGCAGCACACGACTCTGAGTTGCATCATCCTAGTCCCCTCTTTTGCCCGTTATTTTTGCACTTGCACACATAATATTTGAAAAATGAAAAAAACAAGCCTGGGTTTTCCCCTTTTACCGCATGACTCACTCCCCTGCTTGCACTCCCACTCCATTTTTTTCTTTCCAATTTGGATCTGAACCTGGCTCTTGCTTAAGGTTAGAATAGGTAGGGTTGTGTGTGTGTGTGTCGTGTGTGTGGTGGTGTGTGCAGGTTTTCTTTATTGCCGCTGATCGGGTTCCTTGATTCCCCCATCTGATGGGCCTGCCTTGGGGTTATATTACAAGCCACTCCCCGGAGGTCCAACAAAGGGATTTTTTCTCTCTCTTCTGACATTGACTTGAGTCTGGACTTTGAAGTGATAAAGATATCGAAAGAGGAACCAACCGCAAACGGAAGTTTTACACGTGTTTGCAACAAGATTATAGCACAACTACAACACAACACAACAATCATACAACATCATTACACCATATCACTCACACCTTATACAACCTACCCACCAAACCTCACCACCTTCCATTCCCCAAAACACAAACAAAAAACAAATTTTGAAAATGCACACATTCAAACTTCCCCCCTCCCTCCTCCCAACCTCCATCACCATCTCTCCCCACAAACTCCTCACCCGCCGCTCCTCCTCCAAATCCTCCATCCACAAATCCTCCATCTCCGCCTCTCCCTCACCCGTCCGACCATCAACGCCAAAACTAAGCGCCGCACACATCGAAATGTTCTCACCGGCCGAAACGGACGCCCAGTGTTGGGAGAGGATGGTCGCCTTGCAGAGGGAGTATCGATGCTACAACTCTGCTCGTTTAGAAGCCGCGGTTGAGGCGCGGGATTCGGGGAGGGAGGTTGAGGTGCTTGTTCGTAAGTTTGATCCTTTTTGTTTCAACATATATGAAATATGTGTTGGGGGAAAAAACAAGGGATTAATCAGAGGAAGAGGACTGATTTTGAATCTAGCTTCGAGATTATGTCTCGATCTCATGAATGAGAGTTTGAAGGCTTGGATCGATGCCCACCGCGAGGGATTGGTCGCTTAGACCACTCCTCCATCTCCTTCCCTTCAAAGGCGAATAGGGAATCAACCTCCAATCGTCTTCGCCTGGAGCACTCGTAAATCGACATGAAAATCCAAGGCGAGAAGAGCAGCCTTAGAAAGATTGCTTCAACGCAAACACCGCGTTTATCAATTTTCTTCATTCCATCTCTTCACGCATTTCAACGTTTGTCACACCATTGGAAAAGTTCCCGGCGTTTCGGTTCTTTCGACCTTATTTGGTTTTCCTCCCCTGGACTGGTTTGAACTTTTGGGTTTGCGATTTGGCTTTGGGTCTGCCTTTTTTGTTTGCTGGGAAATCGAACATACTTCCCGTGGTCTTTAGCGTTGGCGTTTTGTTGGGAGGCTTCTGTTTTCTTATGTTTATTTTGGCTCGGGTATTTGGATAGGAGAGTGGGAGGAGATTTGTGGGGTTTCTTGTTTTATAGATTTGTCTGTTTGTGGGTTTTTATGTTTGGACGGGGTGCGGGGAATGCTTGGGTTTTGGATGGGGATTCGCATGGATAGTATATGAGATTTTGGATGGGAATTGGATTTGAAATTGGAATTGGACTGCAATGTTGATATGAGAACAATATAGAATATGAGCATGAGCATGAACACGAATATTGATATGAATATACCTCCAAGAAATCATGTCAATATATACTCGTTGTTTTTCTTTATTATTCCCTTTTTTCCCGGCTCCCTTCCTTCCCTTCCCTTCTCTTCCCCCCCTCTTTCCATTAATAACAATAAAAACCCCCGAGTTCATACCCTCAAATACTAATCACTCAGTCAGTAGACAAACCACTCAAGTTCCTCAACGTATGGCCTACTTGCGTTGTTATTCACCCCGTACGGTAAGTCTTACAGGAGATAGTCCCTAAGTTTCCACTGAAATACTCTATGAGTCTATATCTTGTTATTCAAAAATTTGAATGGGGGGACGGGGGGGGGGAGGATGCTAGGTAGGTAAATTGTTAATTATATTAATATTCTATTATAGAAGAGATTTCAAGAGAATAGATCAGAGTAAGGTAACGAGCGATTCCTTGGGAAGAATATATCGATATCTGATATAGGTTAGAAAGTTTATTTGAATATACTTTGTAAGGGCTTACCTCTAAAGAGAGGATCCGGAAGGTAAATATTCACGGATAGTAGCTTCATCTCCCACCCACCAGCTGATCTTGATGCTTCCTGTACCTATGAACCATACAAATAGACCCCCCTAAAATCGCATGGCAAATCTAAATCCAAAAATCTACAAATCTACCCTCCCAAGATGATTTCACCGTACTCTCACTATCCTCTTACTCAGCAACCAACCCCCATATCCACGTCCGCTCTGTTGCAAATCGCACTTCTCACGCCTTTTATCCAGCGGCGAAGTATTATTTTCAGGTGTAAGGATATGGTTTTGTTGCATGTCGTGTCGGTTTACCCTTTTACCCAGTACTGGTGCAGGGTAGGCTGGGGTTAGTGGTAGTGGTAGTGTTAGTGCTTACTGTAATTTAGGGTGGAGTTTAGGGGATTGGAGAGGGATGGGGGTTTTGAGGGATGGTGGCAGGATAGGATAGTAGATTATGTTGGTTTGGAAGGATGGAGATGGGATGGTCTGAGGCGATAATTGGATATTTGGGGGAAAGAAAGTCTTGTTATGGAAGTTGTTGCGAGGGAGGTTTGTGGTGGATGATTGGAGGAGGAGACTGAGAATGGTATGGTAGGCATGAAATGCACGCTACATTTGTTTTTATTTATTCTTTGAAATAGCAAAAATGACAGCGGTCGTACGAGAATTAGTGGTCTCGTGCTTGGAGGCTTGTAAATAAGCAATGGCTGGTGTTGGTGGCGGACTTCCGCTATTGGATGCCCCCACGTACGCATGCTGGAGAAACAAAATAAAACGGTCTGAAACATGTGGATGACAGGGTTTGGGAAGTGACCATGCCATGACCCATGGGACGATGAAGGGGGTGGATAGGGTGGCCCTTCATTATTGTGGCATAAGGTGGGGTGCTGATGTTTTCTGCTGTGAACATTTAGATGGTTGGTTTGATTATGTTTGATAGGTAATAAAACTCAATAAGTTGGATAGAAAAAGGCATGTTATGTAGATAAGAGATGTCCCGCTTGTAAGTTCTGGACCTGAATTTTGGACTGTAAGTACTGTGCCACCGGGCACAAAGGGGGCCAAAAATAGCAGGGTGATTGATTAGGAGAATTATGTATTTTGCGAAGCCCTAAGGAAAGGATGATATTTTGGGCTCAAAGTGGGCGGGTGCAGTGAATTGAGATATCTTCTCTGGTTATAAATTGTTACCAATACTTGGAAACAATTAAGATTTTTGGTTGAAGATTCTAGGTATTCCAGACAGAATCGTTCTTGGGAAGTAACATGAATGCCATTCATAAATAAAACACAAGCATATGTAGGTTTGCGATGCCAGCTGAGATCACTAGAAATTTCGTGTGCTATGGAGGTATTTATTTCATTGTATTGAGCTATGGACGTTGTAAGATTTCGTCCATTCACTCCTACCCTGAGCGCAAATAGAGCAGGTGAAGTATGTTTAGACATTGGGGGTGTGTTTCTAAAGTACCTACGGAAGTGCTCCTTTGTGGAGCTTTTGAAATATTCTTAGACATACCCCAATACTTTCTAAACCTTATAAAATAGGCTTTTGGCGGCAACAAGCGATCAATTTAAAAGCAACCAACACCAACACCAACATCACTCCATGTGTTACGTTGCCATGAGATGGGATGCAAATACCTGACTCAATGCTACACATAAAGCCCGAGATTCTGCAAAAGCCATACCTGGCCATATCATATCCGTTTTCTCCTTCAGAACTCGACATTCAGTGACAGCGTCGCGGCAATCAATCCGACGGCACAACGGCAGTCTACAGTCTCTTTTTCAGCCCTCCCACCACGATCTGGTCTCTCCCCCTTTTCTTTCGCTACCGCTAGCCATCCCTGACCGACCTGTCACTTGGGAAAGGTTCAAGTAACACAACGTGGGCATACGAACATGCGCCTGCGTACAGACCCCGCCGGTCCGCATTCGCATGCGTAGTGCTCTCTTAAGCTCCCTGACCTCATGTCTCGATATCGAGATTCATTCGCTCATCCCCTTTTAGATGCCCCTTGGCAACGGGATGTTACTTTTGATGCGTCGGATCGCGGTGTCATTCTGCTTCTGTCATCCGACTCGATATAGACTTGAGACTTCCAGATCTGCAATATACGGTTTACTACCTCTCTTCTTTCATCCATCTGTCCTATCTTGGCTCTAAAGCATACTGGTTATCTCTCCTTTTGTATCAGCCGGGCATCGCACGCCCCGTGGTCAGCGACCAGAATGCACGTCTGATAGCAATATGGTCGAGACTACCCTATCGATAGAAAGATGTGCCCACTTCGGGGGCGATGTGCAACATTGCAAGCAGCAATGATCATAGGGGCCGTACCACAAAGCCACGGGATCCAGCTTCATTTCAATCAAGTTCAGAGAAGCGCTGCGTATCGGCCCTGCTCAAATCCCGGACCTCCTCTGCCTTCAACTCGACGATGATCGGGCTCGTCTCGTTCATACTCGGCTGTGCATGAATAGATTCGGGATCGACGTCAACGGGCACCTACCTTTCTTTACCCCATTTTTTCTGATTTTCAAGCTCAGATCATCTTTAGATCATGACAACCTGGGGTAAACTACCAGGTGTTTCTATATCCGTTTCTCTGATGTTTGATTACTGGTGATCGTTGACACGCTGAATTTCCAAGAAGGAGATAGCAGATGCCCAAATCATCTCCAGACATTGCATATCAAATAATGCTATTGGCTTCAAGATATTTACTCATCTCCTAATTGGGCTAATTTGTCCGGGGGTATTTTGAATATAGGAAAAGTCTCGTTACACCATTCTCAGGGTGCTACCAAGCTATTGAATGACAGGCGGAGAATTGTTCCAGTACTGTCAAAGCACAAAAGAAACTGCAACGAGGTAGCCACGACATTGGAGATGCATAACAACGAGAACCCCGACATTCCACTTGGACCACAAAGTGCCCACTTGAAGTGGAAAGCTGCAGGAAGACCTCGTGGCAGTCGCATCGGCCGACGAATGAGTTGATCTACGGAAGCAATCTCTTCGCTAGCCTGCTATCACAGGTACCAAAAGGCTAGAAGCAGCACATTTCATATTCAACCATAGCTTGAGGTTTTCTTGCGAATTTATATCCAAAACGGTTCTCAGCTCAGGCGCAAACTAGACCAAAGCTGGGACACAAGAACCCTGGAGTCCCAGGAGAATGGGACGAGGCCCAAGAGTATCTCGTTAAATGTCAGCCTTGGTAGTAAAATGAACTCACATCCCGCGGGGCCAATGTCAATCTTCCATTTTAGATTGCAGGGATGACGATGAAGGAGCTGCTTGCTTTTTTGTCCCAGTCCAGTCAGTGCCATCTAGTTGCAATCTGCAGCCACATGAACACAAACCCGCCTTCCCCAAATACTAAGATTCTCTCCGGATCTTCCCCAGCGTCACTGCAGGAGGTTCGCATCGCAATTATCCATGCAAAAGCATGCTGCAATTCGCCTTTGAACGCAATTGTAGTGTCCAACATGAGACTTAATTCTTACCCCGACCCAGAAGTTTCCGAGTTTCTGGTCGACAGAGCAAGAGAGCGCATTTACTCCATACAAGATCCAACACATTTTCCTCAGTATTCGTTAGATTGGTGAGTTTTGCCACAATAATAAATTATCCCACGCAACTTCCAGGTTGGCAAAATCCCCTCATTTCAACCTGTAGGTGTGTGGCGCTTATCTTTTGCTTTAAAGCACCAATCAACAACCCAACACCGCCCCGGTTCTGGCCAGTGAGCGCCCCACGATCTTCCAGCATGATGGACTTTCGGCGAACCTCCCTGGTCGTGAGCAGACATCAACAGGTTGCCTCGAATTCTCATATATATGCGTCATTCGCTGGGCCTGGCTCAACTCGAAATACCAATGGAATTTTGGCAGAGACACCCGCGATGTGGTGGGATGAGGAACGGATTGAAACGACGCTCACCCGTCAGTTCGTCATGGCGAATTTGCGACCCGATGAACAATTACGACTAGATGAACCCCTTGGCTTTGGTGATGGTTTGACGGACGACACATACATGGAATGGATTGAGCAGAAGGCCAAACGGATATTCTTAATCTTGGTGGACCTTGGAGTACCTGATCAGATTTTCGGTGTTATTGATGATTCTTGGGACGACGACGACCTACCCGTTCCATTGGACAAAGTTGAGCGACTAAGATTGACCTACGATCGGGACGAAAGAATCGAGAAGCGTTTCTTTCAGCGTCAGTTCATTTACTTGCTGAGAAATCTGCAAAAGGGAGAGCAGCTTGTGTATGACCATGAGGAAGTCGTTCCTCTCGAGTTGGCAGAGAAGCGACCTGTGGGCGCTGTTGCAGGGATCACACAGAGCAATATCGACAAAGTTCATCTTCCTGGAAGGCCGGATGATATCTTTATTAGAAGAAAGATACCTTTGGGAAGCACGCCGGGCCGGATGCCCAAGGAGGAATTTCTTTCGGGGGTCGATACCATGAAGAATATCGAGCATGATCACCTGACATGTCTCTGGACGTCCTACATCCACCAAGATAATGGGTACCTTCTTACTACGCCTGCCAATGATAGCTCTTTGAAGTCCTTTCTGACAGTTTCGCCTCAGTCATACAAAATTCTCGCTAAGCAGGATCGTCGCGTACTTTTGATGAATTGGCTTCATTGTCTAGCTGATGCGTTGGCTTTTCTTCATAGCAAAGGGGAATCACATCAAAACATCAAGCCCTCCAATGTTATGTTGGATATCGATAATCACATATTTCTCAGCGATTGTAGTGTATTTGCATCGGCGGGCCAAAGAGCTGGTTTCGACAAGGAGGCATACGACTATTCCGCTCCCGAAAAAGCTCCACGGCACGAAAAGCCTGCACCAGTTACATCACCACTCACACGATCCACTACGCGAGGAAGCATTGCTCGACGCTCTACTGGACCCAGTCAATCCCCAGTTTCTCCAACGACACCCTACACAGCTACCTTTTCTGATACGTTGTCAATACGAACATCCTCCTCCACTAGCTCAAATACTCCCAGCTCGACAAACAAGACTTCGTCGAGATCTTCACAGCATGTATATGATCCCCAAAAGGCGGACGTATTTTCCTTAGGTTCCATCTTTCTCGAAATACTCACGCTTTTGCTTAAAAGAGCATCTAGGAACTTCGCATCCCACCGGGCCTCCAAAAACAAAACGCCTGGTCGTGGTGGCGGAATGCCTGATTCTTCATTCCACAAAAACTTGGGTCAGGTTGAGAGCTGGATGAATACCTTAGCAAAGGATGCATCTAAAAAGGAAGACAAACTATTCAGGGGCGTCAATCACGTGCTGGTCCTCATTGATGACATGCTTTCAGTCAACCCAGATGATCGACCAACCGCACAAGAAGTCCAAGAACGTCTGTACGCTATCCTTTCCGAGAACAGCGGGCTAGGACAACAGGCTTCTGGGCCTGCCGGAGCAAGGATTCATTGCGAGACACGGCAACAGGAGCAAAGTCAGTGGGAGTTCGACTTCGACGAGGCACGTCTTGCGTCTCAACGTGCTGCGGCAGCAGCGTGTGCTTCAGTTGCACCTGTTCGGACTCTGAGCGGGACCATCGAGCCTACCACCACAGTCATATATGGGGTTCCTCCTCCCATGGCTACAGAGCGGATCTCGGTACAGAGTGCGCCTCCCTTACCTAGAGGAAGGAATACCGAAGGCGATCGAATGAGTATCAATACCCGCACGAGCAAAAGTAGTGAGAAAAGTCGGTCTGGTAGTGGGAATGGGGGTGGCAAAGTCAAACCTAAAGCCAAACCGTGGCAGGCTCCTGTTTATGCTGGTTAGTTATCCTTCTGCATGCTTCTTGTTCGAAACCACCCTCATGCTGATAGATGAACAGAAATGAGTTGGGGGTGATCATCTTTTGTAGCTGTGGTTACCGGAGAGAAGGGGTTAAGGAGTGGTCATTTGGATCGCTTGCTGTTTGTATATTACCAGAACAAAATATGAATCATGAATCATGTAGGAGGAGTACGTTAAGAGAGGGGATTTAAGCTGGATATGCTGGATTTGGGAAGGGGATTGATGAATCTTTGGAAGGGTGTCTTGATAGGTTTTGTTTGGCGCTGGTGGTGTTTTGATACCTGTTTTTTCTTGTGAGATAAGAATTCGGGGATGAATATTGAACGTTGTGATAAGGAAGATTACTTATTATGAGAAGCTGATTGTCTCCTTTTTGTATGTCATGATAAGACTGTAGTTGAAAGTAGTTACGCTGTTAATACTCATGCTAAGTTTAAACTAAAATCGTGTTTCGGAGTCTAAGATCTATCCGCGTTGAACATCTGTTTTAGTCGGGAAGTTATATACCAACTACATAGAACCCCTGTTGTTAGAAGCGAGTCACATACTACATACTATAATAGGAGATCTCTAGTAAATACGTTTCTTTTGCTGAGGAAGTAGAAATGGCAGGTAAAATTGTTGTGTAGATCTAGATTTCGGAGAGGTACAAAATTCGTACGTTGTCCCTCTAGGAACTCAGTGTTACACATTTCCTAATACCGTACGGAAATACCTAATACGGGCCTAATTAGGTATTAAAAAGTAGGGACAGTATTAGAAAATACCTAATACTCACTAAATCGAGGACAAAGAAGTAAGATATACTTTTAAGAATCGATAACAGCCTATAATTAGCTTTTAAGAAAGTTTAAGTATAAACCGAGCTTTCCGTAAGCTATCTGTCTATATTACAGGGCCTTTCCCCCTCTCTTTACCTCTATAAACCACCTATAAGTACTTTGTCGTTTCTACCTGTCCCTCCCCCTCTATTCCTCCTATAAGTCTCTACTTCTATTATACCACTATACACCCCCTCTCTCTCCCCCCTCCCTACCTATAAACAAGTAAACGCGTAAACTCGTAGATAAAGAACTACGTCTTTAGTAGGATGTTTAAGGTTTTGCGGCCACCGTTAGTATTAGGAAAAATACGCGTTGAGAAAGGTTTTATACCCTGGGCCGTCCCGCGCGGTATTAGGTATTTCCTGACGCAGTTCCTATAGGGTGTACTATAGCATAAGAAAGCTCTAGGGGTTAATAGTTTCGGTCGATCTCCTAGAACTTTTTGATAGAAGAAAACCTTTACAAATGAAAGATCACCTCTTATCTTAATTTGGTCCTCTGGAATTGAATTCCGGTTCGCTCTGATGACGTTGATATATGTATGTGTTGTTGAGAGTTCACATCTGTACTAACAATTTGATTACTCCATATCACCATCCTATCGTTATAGTACCAAAACAAACCAACCGAATAAAGATCTGTGTTATACGCCGTTACCGAGGTCAAGGATTATAACTAGCCATCTCCTTACATTCCCACCGGGGGACTAGATTCTCATCATCAAAAAACTTCCAAGTCGTCTTCCCAGCCTCAATCGTCTGACTCCTCAACATCTTCTCCTCATACTCCGCCCGACTCTTAATATTATAATGATGCAAAGTCAATCGCTGTCTCGTGACCGGCCACCTCCACGGAGACGGATACGAGAACTGATCCAACCCCGTGTTCCACTCTCTCCCATCCTCTCCCACCGCAATGCTATCCTTCCCCATCACAAACGTATGGGGATGATCCGGCTGCGAGCTCACATAATGATCGGTACGCACAAAAGACTTGACATGGCGATTCCGAGATTGCTCACCATTAGAAGCCGGATCATCGTCGATACACGAGGTATATCCTTTTCGAATCGACGGCTGCCGCACGTTTTTATCGTTGGAATTATGAACTTGCCAGTTCACCCCCAACTGACCGACTCTCGGATCAAGCGAGAGGTCTTGGAGAATGGAAACGAGCGTATCGTTGCGACGGACTACCTCCAGGTATTCGTCGCAGTCGAAATGGCCCATCCATGTGTGTTTGTTGCCGAATAGACGGTGACATTCATCGTTTAGGAAGAGCTGGTTGTTTTTTTCGTGGCGTTGTGAGGCGGTATAGTAGGTGAATGCGATGTGTTTTTTAGGGATGGGATAATGGTATGAGGAAAGCGGTGGGGTGCTTCCATCGTCCATGATATAAAATCGCCGGATTCCGACGTGGTAGTAGTAATGCGTGAAAAGCTCTGGTAGATTCAGAGATTCATTTTTGGCTGTGAAGCAAAGCGCCACGTATTCCTCGTCATCTCCTGGGATGGAGGGAGTGAGCGAGGAAGAAAAGAGTCCAGATGTCGAGTGAGAGCTCGTTGAATTGGCAACGCTCGTATCATTCGAGAAATGAAAAGTCAGCCATGCGATAGAAATCAATCCTAAAAGAAGCGCTATTCGAGGCCGAGAGAATGAGGCGATCATGATGGAAACATGGGGCAGGAGGGAAGGGAGGGATAATAATAATGAACTGCTGTCACAAATGGGCAATCGGAATGTGTGCTAAGACCCCTCAGGCCAAGTGTTGGTTTAATTACAGTTATCGATATCACCCCATAGTAATTGCTACAAGGACCTTAATTTCCACCCTGCAGTTGTCAACAAAAACATGAAGTATGAATGGTCGTACTGGAAGCGCTTTTCTGACCAGTCAGCTTCGTTTCAAGGAATACCCAGGGAGCTCTACTCTGACGTCAGTGGCGCATCTTATATAATTTCTTACACAACCATAATGTTCTAAGTAGATATCTCTTAGAAATGATTTTGACAAGAAACTATTATAATATCACTAGAACAAAAAGAATATTCTGGCATAAAAGTAAAATCTAATGTATGTAAATCCCACAAGTTGTGGCGTTGTTGTAAGTACTACAGCTAAACTAGCACAGGCATCCAATACTTTCTTTGTTAACTTGAAAAGTTCAAAAAACTAAGGTATAGGTACTAATTATATTATTTGTCCAGCGGTTTTCCAAGACCTAAAGTCACTAAGTAATCAAATCTTGAGATTCACAATACACTGCTTTGATTTCCTTCATGATCTCAAGTAGTGCGAAAAAAGTAGAGAAAAACAATCCTTGTACCTTATTCATGATTCTCTTATATATATTTGTTCTCTAGCATCGCTTTTGAATATCTCATGGCCCTCTAGTCTTATTAATAGCAAGCACTCTCTGCTCCAAACCCCCAGAAGTCACAGCGACAGTTTCCTCCTTGGCAACAAAACTGGCAAAGTTTCGCAATGGCTCCCACCCCTTCTCATGACTCATAAGTATGTCTCGTGCGCTTTTGAATTGTGGAAGGTTGGTGATCGCTTCAACGGTCAGATTAATGGTCTCTACTTCCGATGGACTCGCGTGGAGGATATCGTATGCACCATCTTGCTGATCTTTCGAATATGCCCTGCAAAGACTTATTAGGAGACAAGACTAGAAGAAAAGGCCACCGGAAAGTAGTTCATATCTCACATTCGCATCTCATCCAACCATGTTCTGAAAGCCGGATGACGTTCTTGAAATGCTTGCCCATCTCGTGCCCAAAGTAGCCAGATGGTGTAAATCCAGACGCACCAATAAGTATTATCCCAATCGACGATGAGCAAGCGCCAATCCAAGGGAAGGTCTTCCTCCTGATCTTCAGATATTATACTAACTACAGAGTCATGGACGCCCGAATACTGTGCTTGTAGCCAGGAGAAAGCATGCATCAGGGTCAAAAGTCCAGCTGGGAAGTTTTGGTCATTTTGAAAGGTTTCAGGGACCTGGGCATCGAACGATTTGAACAGAAGTGCATCTTCCAATATTTGTGATAGACGAGAGGAGGCTTTCATAAGAACGGAATTTTGTTGGGTCCGATATTTCAATGCCATGGTTTGATTGTGATTTGAGGGAGATCTAGAATATTAGCGAAAAAACCCGAAACCATGATGACTCCTCATTGAATCCAGGGAAATATAAGCGAAGAGATGTAAGCTTACCCAAGCCCTTCGCCAGTGTCATGGAGTCTTTCCATTTCGAGACGGATTTTGATATATAGAATACGGATGGCACTAAAGAATGCTCTGTACAAAGGCCCCGCAAAGGAATCGAAGTCGAGGTCTACTTGAAGGCAATATTGCGGATTTTGCTCAATGAACCTTCTTTCTCTGTTGTTAGCTACCATGCATATTAATGCTTCCAATAGACCATGCGGTAAACTCTCCAATCCAAGAGATCCTTTTGCACGCTCGACGAGGCTTCCGGTCCGGACTCCAAACATGAATTCTTCTTCAGGGTGAGATGTTGGACGATGGTTATGACAACTTTGGCTCCGACGTAGCCTGATAGCTTCAGCAGAAGGCACCAGCTTTAAGTTCACAACGTCTTGCGACGGGCTATCAAGTGTGAACCCATATCCTACGAGTAGTTCGCTGTTGGACTTATCACCATAGTAATTGAATATCTGTTCCCCTTTCTCGACCGCCTTGCACGTGGAGAGCGCAAAATGTCCAGTGTCGGGGTGTTTGGACCATTCAACTCGATTAACACCATCATGGTTTCCGATATCAAGAATAGGCAATAGGACAGAAAAGCGATCTTGAGTAACACATTCCCATATGGCCTTATGATTCCCCTTGTATTGTTCAACGAGACCTTCCTCTGGGACTGTGAGAGATGCTCTAAAGCTCCGAGTTCCAAATATCGTAGCTGCCCAAAAATACAGTTTCTGAGTATACTCATCCCAGTCTTGATGCTCGGGCGATGACTCAAGCAACTTGATACCTTTGGCCCGTTCAATCATCCAGAGCTTTCGCCTGATCTCAACTGGCGGTTCCGCATTGGTACCCCAAAGAAACCTTCGATCGGCTTCAGGCCACCATATGGGAATGGCTAAAAGATCTGGCTGATCCGGCTGGGGAAGGAGACGGATATATTTCCACCAAAAGGACCTTTTTCCCATCAAGTATTGCTGCATTAGAAAGAAATGGCCAATAATATGTGGATCTTCTAGGGCCAGTTGACTGATGAACTCGAGGGGGAAGGGCTTGGAACCATGTGACTCAAAGAGAAACGAGTATGGAATGGCATTGAGAAACGAAAGAGTTGTCTGGTATGCACAGCTGACCAGCTTTGCTCCGGGTGGAACGTCCTCCTTCGCCCTGAATGACAGCCCAGTCACATCGTCTCGGTAGACTTCAACGCTGGGATGAAGGATGGTATGATGAGAGCGGCCCCACTCCAGCAATTCATCAATACGTAATTGCTTTGGCATTTTGAGTGCGTCAATGATGGGAGTCTTCGAGAGTGGTAGCGGAGCAATTGGCACGTAACTGAGAGAGAAGTCTCTACACTAGTGGACCTCTCTGGATGGGATAGAAAATTCGCCAGGACTGTCTGGCGAAGATATATACTTCGTACGTCTGAAGGCTGCAGCTGCTCAAAAATGCGAGATGGGATCGGATGTAAGAGAGTCAGGCGCAAGCGGAAGCCAGCACTCCGCTCCACTCCACTCCACTCACAGTTCCTGGTGTCTAGTCAGTCGATCATTCAAACGGCTTCCGCGTTTCTTTTGAATTCCCCGAGCCAAGGGTAGTCTTGCTGTTGCTGCGACAAGATGATCGTCGGTGTCCTTTATGAGGTTGCAGGTGATGGTAAGTGATTCCCAGGCTATCCACCGGGACTGGTGATGTGGTTGAGGAAGGAGAGCACCTTGCAAGGAAGATTTGACCTCAGCTTAGCTAAGCTGAGTGGTCGTGGTGACGGTGGCCTGAGATCAATGCCTTAATCTTGAGGCACCTAACTTCCACTACCGAGTCGAGCGAGTCTACCCTTACCGAGCACGTGCAGAGTAAACACCTGCATAAATTGTGGGCTTTTTGTTTGGAAACATTTGCATCTGCACGTCATCCCAACAACCCATCGACCCACCATCACCATGTCGTACAGTACCGCAACCCCTGTCGGCTTAATACCAGTCCTTTGTCCACTACTCAACGTTGCCGTTGGACTTCGACAACTTTGACTTCCGACGAAGTTGCGACACTGACCAAAACCTTACTCATGCCCTTGATGTGGACAGCACAGCCTGCCGGTCTCGATTTCTGAACGACCAACTGCCACCTACTACTGCCTGCCAGTATCTTCCAGGTTTACCACCTCTTTCCTGAAAGTTGCCTTTATAATTTCTGTGATTGCATGGAGGTAGGGCTCTCTACATAGGAAGGTTAAACCGCACATTTTGGTCCCGCTACAAAGTCAATGTCACGAATCACGTGTTAGCATGTGACGAGTTAGTCCAGACGGCGTTCTGACAGGACAGATACATCCAGAGTAGTTATACCATAGCAGTGGTTGGTTACTCAGGGTTGTTGAGTATCCAAGGATTTCATAGCATTCATAGTCACGTGACGAAAGCGTGACAGCGCGCTCGTCGCGCTGTCGACATTCAGGATTTGGAGAACGAAGGTTCTATATAAGACTGGCATGTCTGCCATTAGATAGGAGCTTCGTGCTCAACTTAGTTATCAATCTTATCATATTAGTTTGACATCTTTGATACAAGTAACGAGTTCACTTCCAAGTGAACAACCCGATAGTCTTCTTCTTATCATAGCATACCAACCAGCGAACACCCAGCCAAGTTTAGTTAGCCAGTTTGAGTATTCGTTACACTCAATCAAGTCCTTATATTACTTAATAAAAGGTTTGATCTAACTTCTATAGAGTTCTATCTTTACAAGGCAGATGCTAAAGAACATTTCGGGATTTAACTTGTATCTTTACGATATATTTTGAGGGTTTAGAGAAAAGGGTGATAGTAGGGTGCACAAGCGTAAAATGTGCGGTTCAATCAGCCTACGTAGCGAGGCTGTACGTACGTAGTAGTGACCTAAACTTGATAATACAATTGCTCCGAATCTCCCGTTCTCAGTCGGTGTTTGAATTGACTCTGCCCGATCATTATTGTCAAGACCAGGAGGTTGAGGTTAATTACTCGAATCGTCCAGATATTCAGAACTGGTTACAGGTAAACCTGTATATAAGGATATTCGTGGGGGCAAGATTCGTAAGGATACAACGGAGGTTATCCTTATATTAAGGGTCTTGGTATAGACGACGACATGATTATATAATTATGCAATAGGAATATATAATATAGTGCCTACTGAATCTCATATAAGACTAGTACTATGCGTAAAATCCTCTTATTCTTGTCGCTAAGTCTTAGTTTTATACTTAAAAATATAAAGAATTTATATAGAATTACTGAATTTCCGAGGATTATATAACTTCCAAGGATAAAAGCGAGGTTGTTTTAGGTGCTAAAAAGAATCTCGGGCATAAAAAAACGAATAAGGATAATCCCTATTACTTAGGGATCCTTAGAAATCCAGGTAAAAAAATCGGGACCCAAATTTTAAGGATATAAACGAGGTTATCCTTGTACCCAGGTTTACCTGTTATTGAATTTTTGCTTCAGCATCATACTTCGAGGTATACGAATAGTGAGCTCCCACCTTAAAGAACGTACTTCGTATATCTTGATGTGCAATTCTAAGCCCATGTCCTTCCTAGTGCCGATTTTGATGACGATTCCCGCACCACTCTCAAAACATATCGTGATTGAAGGACCCCTCGACAAGTTTCCGCCACCCCCTCTCTTCTGAGTTACAGTGGCTATTGCACAAAGTACATTTGAGTATGACGCTTTCCCAGTAGACAAATCAAGAGTAAATGTTTGAGCTTGACGTTCTAAAAGCATGTCGGAATATGGTCCCAATCGATTGAGGAATATTCCATGAACCCAGGTCTGGGTATTAGTATGGCAAAGTCATAGACTTTTCTTTGTGCTCGCAAATTTTCGAAGCCGATTACGACTTGAAGGCTAGTGAGGGCAGCACATGGTTTCCCAGCTCTCACTTGGTGACCAAGATGCATTATTCTGGGAGCATGAAGAATACGCAGGCACGATGGATATTGGCGTGGGATATGCGATCGATCTACTCACAACTTGTTACTATAGAGTCACCCTGCAAAGAAAGCCGCTGAGAATGGTAACAGAATACAGGAGCACTCTAATAAATCTCCAAACCATGTTTTCCTTAAGGGTGGTCAATTTCCCAGATATATGTAGCTAGACTCTTGTTATGGCCACGGTTATTACTCTAATTCATCTGTTCTATATACACTAAGATTTCTCAATATTAATACTAACCTGTTTCTCATTTTCTCCAACGTATGTCTTGTAAACTAATTGTCTTTATTTCCAGGGCTTCACTCACTCATTAGTACTATCATTTCTAGGCCCGGGAAAATTTAGCATTTTTGACAGAGCAACTCGTAATACTTTATGTGTTTAAGACTTGTTCACTGTATTCTTCTCCCACGCTTCTTATTTTATTACCATGACCCTAAGTACTTCTCCTATCGCCTCCGTGGTACATATATTATTTCCAGGCGGAAAGCTCACCTTGGCTAGGCTAAGCATTATAGATAATTAACACTTCATCTCTGTCAGTTATGCGATAACAATGTATATGTTACAGCTCATTAGTATTCTGTACTTCTTTTAGAGTGTCCCTTGAAGGCTATTAAATTATAACTAAAAAAGAAGTATCACAGTCACGATGAAGAAAGAGAAGTTCTGATTTGATGAGAAGTGTGAATGTACTGAATTGCCGTGAAGTCAAAGCGTCGTGGCTAGTACCATATATAGAACCCATATCCCTCTCACTTCGGGTCTGTTCGTCCATCGAGGAGTTCAAAAAGAGAAGGCAGAAATTAAGAATACATAAACCCCCATCCTCCACGACGAGCCCGTTTCCTCCTACGCCAATTTATTTAGGGTTGCATTGGCAGTCACCGCCAAAGGCGCAAGACTTGTAGTCGCCTCCGCACTTAGTAGAGCATGAAATAGCTTGCTGTGGTGTACACTCCTATTAATTCTGTTAGTTATTGTAGACTGGTATCATAGTATGTGGCAGAGTTAGGATAAGAATGTGTGAAAAAATTGTGCGTACATTTCCAAAATAAGGAACATCTGCTGCGGGCAGTGCGGTGACGGCGGCGGCGAAGAGAGTGAAGATAACGGCGAAACGCATGATGTCGGTGGTGGTGGTGTTGTTGTTGGGAGGGTTTAGATGAAGAAGAGAATTATTTTGATGTTGAAAGTTGAAATTGTATGTAGATCACCAGGATTGATACTAAAAGTTGAATTGAATGATGATAGAATTGGGAGAGTAAGACAGCTCTTACTTATACTTATTTTTCCTCGCTCTCCAGATTTGAATCGGAGCCTCAATTCTTTTTAATGAGACGAAATTTGTCTCAGGCTTATCTTCTCTCCCCTGTTGGAAGGCTAAATCGGAGAATATTACTTCTAGGTAGTGCTTTGTGGAGCGTATACCAGAACTGGCACCAGCTGGTGTTGAGTCAAGGATCTCCGAAGTAGCATTTCGGTTGCTTCATGTAATCTTTCAAGGGTGTCTAAGACGACTTCTTCAAAGTAGAAGTGCAAGGACCATTACTCAGCAAAGGTCGACGTCAAAGAGACGGAATCACGGAACAGGCTATTTTGGAGCATTTTTTCTAGGCAGAATAGGGGTCATCGGCGCTTTTACTTGGTGTTTCCTTGTTGAGTCTGGGTGGGAAAACACGATTATGGCCAGCGGACCTCCCCAAAATCGCATTTATACTGCAGTAAAAGCTTTGGCGACGAGTGCAGTGGAGTCCCCTTTGCTAGTGTGTCAAAAAGCAGAGTCGCGCTTACCTACGAAGTGCACTTTAAACTCATCGTAACTCCAGAGTTTAATGTTGATGATGTTATAGAGGATAAAGCCTTGAACAACTTACATACAATTAAGCCAAGTTGAAGGGAAAACCCTTAACTCTTAGGCCAAGAGAATTCATCGATAAGGATAACTTATGGGTTGAAAAATCTCCGCAAGTCTGGAAGTTGCTCGCCAAGGCGTTACAACAACGGCCAGCAAACGGTCTATTAGACTTACTTGAATGCCTTATCCATGACTTTAACTAAATCAAGCTGTGATAGAAGCGTTTTGACCATGGCAACGGTTATGAGCGTAAAGGGTCTGGACAGCTCGCGTCGCCCCCTCCCCTGTATACGACTTGTTATAGGCAGGGTATAACTCCACAATATAGCCCTCTAAGCCAATTGAATTGTCCGATCCATGTGGAGAGGTATATCAGAAATTGACAGGGGGAGACCCGAGCTGTCCAGGCCCCTTACGCTTGTTCTGTACCAGAGCTGCTGTCAATTTATCAGATGACCTTTTGTCCCGCGGCGGGTTGAACACAACTTCTCCGTATTCTTTCGAGCCACGGGTAGGTAGCGAGCGACTGTAACAATATCACACCAGGGAAAATACTCCAGGTTACGGCGTATTCGACCTATCGGGGGTGGCCTTACAGTGGGGCTTTCTTTGAAAAGCCAGTTACATTACTAAAGTATGCTGTTAAAACAATGTTTTGGGGTAGAAGGTTTCTGAGGTCACTTCCTGATCAGCGGGACGTTGTTGCGGTGCGAGTCCGGGGAATCTGCCTCGTGTTGTTTCCATGGCTTCCATATGTCTCCACTTTTCTCGTCTCATCATGTACCTCCGTACCGGGTAAACTTTCCTGCCACTGCCATCCCAACCCCCGCTTGCAGAATCGAGTATCTACTGGTATCAAGGTACGAAAAAATATCCGCCCCTTGTTTACGAAGGAAAAGGTTATTCTCCATAAGGTTTGCTTCCCGATGAGGTTTGCTGCATTGTTACTGTACGATGGGAAGTATCGGTATTCATGCTTTTCCTTTCAAAGACGAATGCCAAGTAATTATGTTTCAATGTCAAGCGTGTGGATACCGTATAATGTTTTACGACTACTCGGGTAAAGACTTTTTAAGGTCCACCTGCAAATAACATGTTTCTCGAAGACGCATGGTCCAGACTCAGTTCCCCACTACTCCGCAATTGCTCATCTCTCTGTGGAAGCCAGCGAGCTTGGAAACAGCTTATTATCGTGTACGAGTTCTTCCTCAAGGAGTAGCATACTCAAGCGAAGACAAAACAAGGAATTGCAAGAAACATTTGATAACGACGCCACGTCACGCCTCTTTGAAGAAATGGAAGGACTTCTTGGATGAACGTGGTCAAGCTTGTCATGGTCACATACAACGAGTAATATCATACGTGAGAACCAAGACGCCTTCAGTTTTACGTTGTCTGAAGATTATAAGCTCTGTTGGAAGAATTTTGGTTGTACCAAGATACTTATCCTACATATCCAACAGTGTATGTTGATGTCTTCATTAAGCAGCTCAGTCGATAAAGTTTTACAAATCTACAGTGGCAATTAACTCCCAATAAAGAAAGGCGCCGTGAAAACTTTGCGCAGAAGGAGTGTAGTCCCACCAGGCGTGAAACAAGGCAAATATTTGTCCAGGTATCTTTTGAAGAGTATAAACTCTGAAACAGCCTTCTCTATCTTTTCTTCTATGTCATCTAGATACCAATCACCGCTTCTAACACCATTGCAAGTGGAGTGTTGCTCATTGCAGCTCGTCTGACACATCTAATGTGTTCAAATGCTCATTTGCTTTTGTAATCTGGTATGAATTGCCATGGTTCTTTGGCCCGTCGTCTATCTCTATAGCCTGTGGTATTGGTTTGCAGCGTACACGAACCCGGTTCCATATTATGAAAACAGGAGACCTGCGTGGTAGATCTGATATGTTGGCGTAGAGGTCCAGATTCCAGAGTATCTTTTTACTCAAGTGGAGAAGGCATTTGTATGTCACACAGTACCAAAAGCCACTACAAGAAAACTCGTGGTCATTCTATCGAGTTCCAACTTCTATTAATGGTATTCTTTGAGCATTATGTTAGCGTTGGATTAGGGTGTTGGTCGCTGGTGGTCGTTATTAAGCGAATAGAACTCAAAAGATCGCTACGAATACACTGTTCTTTCACCCTAAACATACCCCAACAAATCATCAAAAACGCAGCATAATACAAGAACGTATTATTTTAGTCTGGGAATATCAGTGACTCAATTCAAGTGGCCAAATAGGAATACTATGTGAACTTAAGGAAACGTCAGTCATAGAAATGGCATCGTTTTTTCACGTCAAGAACTGGAGCGGACAACGTGAATGGCATGGCTATCCATTCCAGAGTATCGAGGACCAAAAAGAAAAAAAGGTGTAAGATCTTACCCAAAGTAGAGTAAATTATCCACTTTTACAACATCTTCCCTAGAAAACAAAGTCATTTGGCCAACCAGGCAACGTTGCAAGCATTGGAGCCTCAATTGACCTATTTATCGCATGCACTTTATCCACTTTTGAGTGCACGTTTTTTTGGTCCTTAATACCTGGAAGGGATAGGACAACCTCACTTTCTAAAAATAACATTCTTTGTTCTTTCCAAAGTCTCTCGGATTCAAATCTCTGTTCCCATCGCGAGAAATGGAGACAAAGAAACAAAACTTCCCCCACAAGTTCTTTCATGGCCTATAGTTCGTACCTATAAATCTCAAGTATTTAAAAAGTATTCCAGAAAGCAAGCTGTTCGCTACCAAAAATTCAGAACCCATAAACATCTCAAGCAGTCAAAATGTCCACATTAAATATTCTCACCAAAGGGTTCAAAGATCTATTCTTCGCTTCCTCCACATCAGAAACGCAATTGAGAGAAGAAGCAGATACTATCCAAAACCTAGAGTCGCATTTACGAGATCTCACAACCTATGATGCAAGTACGAGTGCCGCCAACAATAAAGCAATGGTTAGAAAAGATATAGAAAAGGGTGTCTGCGATAACACAGTGGAGTTAGAAAAACTCCGCGAGGCAAAAAAACTATCTTCACGTGGAAAGAAGGTACTGCTCAAGGCCCTGGTTTTAATGGAAGAGAACCAGGTTAAAAGAATCAATTGTTTAGACCTAAAGATCAGGGAGCTTATCACAAGCGGTGAACTGGATAAGGCTCGGAGAATCAACGAGATGAAGAAGGAGTTGATGTATTGTGTAGGGCAACTGAAAATCACTGAGAGGTGGTTGGAAGATTTGGGAACGGAACTTTCAGAGAAATCACGTCAGGTTCTTGAATTACATATAAATTCCGAGGAGCAGACAATATTCGGCCGCTTTTCTCCAGATTGATTTTGGAGATGTAATAGGACGTATGGGAAGTCGAAATCAAAATATTACGATATATCATATCGTTATTAGTCACCCCATATCCCCGACCCACGTGTTCGAGTATCTTAAGTACTCGGACGCTTCTACTCTTATAGTATAATATAACTATTATAACACGAGCACTCTCTACTATCTAGCACTAGTATATTCCATAGAACGCGCTAGTTCTAGCCCCTACGCTTCTATACCTATAGATAACTCTTATATTAGAGCTCAACTTACCTCTAACTAGCTCCTCTCCTTATCCTACTTATATATTCTATATTATATAAAACCCTCGTCTTCTAATATATATAGAATATTAAAATTTAAAACTAAATATAGTAAGAAGAGTATGTTACGGAGTTGGAGGGACTGGGGTCTGGTCACGTGTAGCACGGCACGTGCGTGCCGCTGGCATCCTGTATTTAAGCTTCCATTCCTCTGGAACTCTATTCTCTCCTCCTCACTTAGTTGTTCGCTCAATACAGCAGTTTCCGTTTGACTCCGTATTCATCACAGCAAGCAGTGGTTCACTCCACACGGTTACAGAGTATAGATTTAGTTTACTATAACTCCTCTATTCCTATAATAAAAAGATTAATTAAATAATATTTTTATCTTTTTCTAAAATAATTCCCTAAACCCTCTAATAATCTATACTTCTTAACTCTTATAAACCCTTTATCTCTTACAACCTATTATTTTAAAATATTTATCTAAACCCCTTTAAAAATCCTCTTTTCTAAACTCTCTTCTAAATCCCTTTGTAACGAATACTCAAACTGGCTAACTAAACTTGGCTGGGTGTTCGCTGGTTGGTATGCTATGATAAGAAGAAGACTATCGTCTTGTTCACTTGGAAGTGAACTCGTTACTTGTATCAAAGATGTCAAACTCATATGATAAGATTGATAACTAAGTTGAGCACGAAGCTCCTATCTAATGGCAGACGTGCCGGTCTTATATAGAACCTCAGTTCTTTGTTCCAACTGTTGGATCGCCTCAGTCGCTTGTCGACCTAGGCGACCCAGTCGACTGGAGCGCCTGTCGACCCAGGCGATCCTTCCATCACGTGATGCTAACCAAAGGAAATCCCTGGATCGCTTAGCTAGTCTAAGGATCCCCATTTGCTATAAGAGCATACGATAGTGCTTGACCTGTCAGGACACCGCCTGGTCTTCACTTTTCACGTGCTGACACGTGATTCGTGACACCCTTCCTTTCTATAACTTTTCTTTACTTATTTAAATTGCCCAACCCCTTAAAAAACCTACCTTCCCTTAATCCCTATAAAACTAAACCTATAATGAAACCCCCTCCCCTAACCTCCCTCCCTAGCCCTCTTTCTATAAAATAACTGGCTAAAGCCCTTTAAAGAATAAAATCCCCAAGAACCTAAACGAAATCGCTATCTCGCGTAAGAATTTCTCTCTAATAACGATATCCCACGTATTTCAAACATCCAAATCTATTACCCATCTACTCGTAAAAACACAAATGTACGTATTATATTCGTTCAAAAAAAAAGGAGTGAATACCTAAGCGAAAACAACAACGCACAGACCACAACACCATCGCGCCTACGTAAATACCCAAACTCGCTAGACGAAAAATCTCCTCTTCAGCCATCTCCATACATTTCCAGGTACGTATACCGTTCAATGGACAAGATACGCGTAGCATATCGTTTACTGATCGTACCAAAGACATTACATAGCCACCAGAACCACCAAACCACCATGTCTGCACCACCAGCAGCACCAGCACCAGGACCAGCCGCCGCCGCCGCCAATTTGGTCACGGTCCCAGATGGCGACGACCCGCCATTGAGAAAGGTACGTGTTCTCTGTGGCGAATCAGAACCCAATTCCATGGTCCAGGAAGCTAATATAAAGGACGACAATAGCCCTGCAACTACCCCAAGAGCGCCCAGCACACCCAGGAAATCTTCGACCTGGCAACAGGTCGACTGGGCCGAAAGCTCGCGGGGATGGAGAAGAAGCGGGACTTCGTCCAGTACGAGGAGAACCTGGGGATGCACCCCACCAGGCACAGGCGATACCGAAATGCGAGCGTGGGATTCTGTGTTGGGGAGGCCAAACCCGCGGAGGAGAGATGCGGCCCGTGCCGTGATGGCCATGGGAGCTTTCCCCAGTGCGTGGTCGTCGCTGGCGAGTTCGGCGGTGCTTGCTGTTCTTGCAAGCTTGGAGATAGGGTCAAGTATTGTATCTGGCCGGCACCAGCCCCAGTAGCACCTACTCCAGCAGCTCCAGCAGCACCACCCGCACCCGCTCCAGCACCCGCACCAGCTCCAGCACCAGTTCCTGCGCCCGCAGCAGCTCCAGCAACTGCCTCGTCAGCTCCAGCCGATGACTGGGAGGGCTATACAAATGATGACGGAAGCCCCATGGATGTCATGGCTGTGATGCTGGGCTTTTGCCGGGCTGCTCGCGTTGCTCGAGGTGGATGAGACATGACTCTCCCACTCCCACCGTTCCCTCAGTGAAGTCTGAAGGGGGTTCCTGGTTGGTTGGGAGGGTTGTGTGTGACGTCTTGATCTTTGGTACAGTATACCAATGCAGATAATCCTCGCCGTCTGACAGGATTGAAATACATGTCATTTAGACTTGTGTTACTGCTGCCCGCCACTTTACCGAGACCAAGTTCACCACGGCCACATCTGATCTGGACGAACAAGAAGGCAGCACAATTTGGAAGGAGATTGGCCGAAGCAAACTACAACTTCGCAACTTCGATCCCAGGATCAGTGTTGGTGGTGGAGACCGTATGATGGAATGTGTTTGTCTGTGGGCTTTCGTTAGTCTTTTTCTTTTGTTTTTCTTGCTGGTTTTTTGTGTTTGGGGAGATTCTTGCCTGTTGGCACCGGCTGTTTTTTTTTTTTTCGGACCATATGGGATGAGGTGGGGCGAGAGCCCGTCTTTCGTCCGTAGAGTATCGAATATGATTTCATCACCACTCCGCAAGCAAGACTCGTATATCCTCAACCGTGACTGATTCTCCCAGATTTGATCGTAAAAGGTCTGCGTGGATTATGACAAGCCGATGGAATGAAATTTTTGAGGATCGTGGATCATGAGTCTCCATCGCTCGGCCTCCATACAGCCTAAGAGCTACTCGATTGCGCGATGAAAGACTTTCTGCTCATAAGAACTGTGTGGTTCGGCATAGTATTGAGATGGAGGAGGACTGCCTTGAAGGTCTTTCATAATCTCCATGGTTGCGAATGCATTTGTTGACTTGCTGCTTTTTGATGTAAGTGCAGTGACTAGCGACAGCATCCCCATGGCGAATATAACTTTGTAACAACTCTAGGCTGCATAAGATAAGGATACAACGGACAGGAACAGGAACGTTCGTCTGACAATGAGGAAGTCGTGTTGTTGTATGGATGGAATTCTTGTTGGGTAGGAGGGTAGGTAGTTACGTCAAGGTGGTTACTCTTGTGGTGTTGTGGTGGCCTCGGATAATAATCGGTCCGATTTCAAAGATCTGTGCCAAGTCACCCGCACCACTCCACTGTCAAATATACAATGAAGCAGTTTTCTATTTTCAGCAGGACAATCCCATGACTACTTTCACATTGATGTAAGGGAGTAACGCACTTCATAACATGTACATCTGTGAGAGCATGCATATATGTAAGGTGATGAATATGAAATCAAAAAGTGGTTCACATCATTTCGGATTTCCTATCATTACCAGCTTACAACACAGGTCTCATACAAAGATACTAGACCTATTGTCTTAGGGATGAACAGTTGAGAATGACTGCTTTTTTGAGATATCTGTACAAGACACACTTTAGAATTGTGGGATTCGCCAGAATTGTCCATGTTTAGCCTCCTGATCAGACAAGCTCACCTTGCGTGACCAGCCGACTTTGTTTGCTAATTAAGATGAGCTACTGCCCCCATCCCAGCCAAACCGACCTCAGTCAGAGCCTCCATATGCGCCAACCAATTCCAACTCAAGGTCATCCTTTGACTCCAGGCATACATAACTCATACATCGTCCTCCAGAAACTTGTAGGCGAACTTGAAGTCCGCCTTTCTTCGGTTCATCCTGTAACATGTTAGCCAAAATTCACAGCACAAGGTGCATTGGGTTGCCATGAAGGGAAAGTGTCTTAAGAAAATTGGCAACATACCAAGTGCTCTCATAGTCAAAGAAACGGTAAGTTCCTTGCTCAAACTCTTCCGTAATTGTCTTTGGCTCTTCATGTCTTTGAAACCAGGTCTGATACTGCTTATGGAAACGCCAACTTTGATCTTTCAGAGCTTTAGCTGCTAGATACTGTTGGTATGTTCCCTGCTTATAATAAAACACATAAAACAATGTATCTGGATCAATACGAGAGTACAGGCGGTGGTCATCAAAAACTGGGTCAAGCTCTTGTGGATAGTACGCAGGAGTATGACACCTGATTTCTGGCCTATAATTCCTAGGCGTACCAACATCTTGCATATCGGGCGAAGTAGCAAATGATGCTGCAAGCATTCTCTGCGATGCCTGCGAGGGAGCTGCCTTGACATTTGAATGAGTTGCTTCAAATGCCTGCAACAGATCCTGAAGTCCCGAAGGTAAATGATAGATTGATTCATCAGGGTCTTCGGGGGCAACGCTTTTCGTGCCATTGGTTACGCCATTGGATTTTGAGGTGGGAGCTTCAAGATGTTAGTTGGTAAGGTCACTTACTATCATATCGAAAAAGACATACCTTTAGAACTTGCCGCCGATTCAACCCCAGCTGGAGCCTTACCAGATGCCCGAGAAGGGCCTGGTTTCGGCGATTCAGCCTTTTCAGAGCTATGTGATTGTAATGGATTATTTCCACTAGGAACTGCACTTGATTGACTTAAAGCTGGTGACTTTGTTTGGGCAACGGAAGTTGTTTCCGATATACTGGCCGCAGCTGGAATAGCATTTTTTGTCGCAGGTCCCGAAGTAGAGGGCGCTGGTTGAGCATGAGTCACTGTCGGTGAGGCAGCTGTGCTCACTCTTCCTTTAGATACTGATGATAATGGTGGATGGCTGGCAGATTTAGATGGTGCGGGGAGGGCATCTGGTGGCGGGGGTAAAGGGGCTATTCCCAAATTATTCTTATCCTTTTCTGCTGCCAGCGCCGCAGCTGAAGCGTACTTGAGGGTTTCTCCTGGTGCTCTTGTTGGTACTGCTGCTGGCTTCATCTGCCCAGTGCCATTGGTTGCATTGTGTAATGTCGCCAACGCAGGCAGAGGGCTCTTCATTTGCGTTGATGGTCTTCGGGCTGCAGCTGGGCCTTCTGTTACTGCAGCAGCTTTCGACTTCCCCCCAGGTATACTACTTGATCTCGATTCTGGTTCGGGTGCTTCCTCCTGTATCGACTGAGTGTCCTGTGACGAGACTCGGTCGTTATCCAGATTCATCCCGTAGTTATCTTCCTCTTCCTGGAGGTTGAGCTCGTCGTACATCTCATCATCCTCCATGAAATCCTCGCCCATACCGTCAGTAACATAATATCGTATGGACTCCTCGAGGTCCGTCACTTGCTCAGTTTCCACCCCGCCGTTCTCCAGCGATCGTTTGATCAGTTCCAGTTTCCCCTGATGCCATTTATGCCGCTCCGTCACTCGTTCAATCTCAGCCATTCGATCCGCCTTGGCTGACTGGTTCTTGCCCTTCTTCATGGTGGCTTGTATCGACTCGCCCTCGGCCTCCAGGGTCTCTATCTGTCGTTCAAGCTCGTCCACCATGTTGCTCAAGAAATCGCAGGCTTCCATTTTCGCCCGCTCCTTCGGATCCAGCTTTGCAGCCGCCGATAAGCCCTCTTTGGAGTAAGCTTTCGTCTTCATGGCTTTTTCCACAGCCTTGAACTTCTCCATTTGCTGTTGCCCGTTAGCAGTGCACTCCATCGATTGTCATCGTGCGTACTGTCTCAATCAATTTCCGGTTCTCTAACAGAGGGCCCTTGTCTTTGATGTCGTTGCTGGCAGCCCATGTCTTGATCTGGTCTCGTAGCCTCTGTAGCTTCTTAATCTCACGTTTGAGGTTGTCCTCCAGCTTCTCCTTCTGCGCTGCATTGGTAGACTGTTCGATCTTCTCGTATATTGACTCGAACTCTGCGACACCCTCGGACACCTTCTTGAAGCATTTATCCACTTCCTGCTGAAGTTTCCGTGCCGCCATCGTGAAGGATTGATGGTCGCAATGGGAATGTGTGAATGGATGTTGGTGGGATTTCGGAGGCACAGATGATGAGGTTGTAAGTTCCGAGGACCGGGTCCCATGCGTCTGATGGACAGTTGAGGCACGCGCCGATAGTTTGTGGATATGCGATGGGGTTTGGCGTTGATGGGAGAAAAATGGTCGCAGTTGGGTGTTGTAGAAGGGGTTCCAAGGTTAGTGAGGCTCCCGCTGTGATTTGACAAGCTGCCAGGCTGGTGGTTGACGGGTTCACGGGATGCTGGAATCCTTGGCACCCGGAGGGTTTCCAGGCTGTGGTGGGGAGCACAGCACGGAGCCCCATTTCTCCAGCTACCGCCAGCCAGCTCAGCTACCCTTACCCACCTCTAGGCACTTTCTCCACTATCACAAGTTCACAACACCATAGGGATTATCCCCACCGTTAGGAATGCGATCATCGCTTGTAGAGCACCTCAGCTTCACTTCACTCTCTCTGCAATCCTGTCCGGGAGGGGCGTTCTACTGCCAAGACCAACCGAAGGTTCCCTAGATATCTACTCGTAACTATCCAGCTATCCAAGCTCCATAAAAGTCAATCTTGTTTTACACACATAAGCTTACCCTATCGTCTTAAGCTTTTCCTCTGCTTGGGTCAAGTGTGTCCTGTCTTCGTCTCCTACTCAGTCTACTTTCTTATCCTTCTAGTGTTGAACTGCGTTGAAGGCCATAGTCGATAGATTCCGGCTCATCCAACAACATGAAAGGTGCGGATGATTCCACGCCTCGGTACCAACCACCATTGCTGATATAGTGTCAGCAATTCTTCAACGGGTTCTGTCTGCCTCTGTCACAGTTGACAAGCAACTCGTATCCTCAATAGGAAAAGGCGTGCTGGTCTTTGCAGCGGTAGCCCCCGGGGATACAGAGAAAGACGTTGAAACCCTGGCTGCAAAGGTTCTCAAGATGCGTCTGGTAAGGGCTCGAGTCATGGATTGACATTTCTCAGATGGTTCTCTATCATCTTCTCGCTTGACAATTACTCGTGCGCCACCTGTTCTGTTGACATTTGTGCTGACTTTGCAATCGATAAGTGGGATGACGAAGTAGGAGGTCGAGTAAGCTTTTCCAGGCGCAAAACGGAAGTGTTCTGACGACTGGTACGAGTAGTGGAAGCATAATGTGCAAGATATTGGTGGAGAGATTCTATGTGGTATTTTGCCTCATTAACCTCGAGGATTTCTTCTGAATCTCTATTTCTAGTCTCTCAATTTACACTGCTGGCGTCAACCAAAAAAGGATCAAAGCCTGATTTCCACGGAGCGCTGGGTGGTGACAAGGCCAAGGAGCTGTACCAACTATTTGTTGAAAAGGTTCAAAAAGGTTATGTCAAGGAAAGGGTAAGAGATGGAGTTTTTCAAGCAATGATGGTACTGTAGAACTCTATCTTGCTTGCTGATAACCGGGCTGATCTTTCCTAGGAAGTGGCATTGGTCAACGATGGACCAGTAAGTATTGTCATCACGTATCTCTCTGAGTTCTTCGCTAACCAATTCAAGGTCACTCTGGAAATGTCTGCAGGACCAAGTGGAGAGAAACCCGAAAAGAAGTGAATGTTAACATGTTTTCTATGTCGGACTCAGGTATTCTGGCCATTCAACCGGGAACCTTGAGATGATTATTCAAACTCTTTTCCTTTGCGTTTTGGTGAATTTCGAACCCTATTTCAGTCAGCGGAGTTCTGTTACTTTCATTGCGTTCCTACATATTCCTCTTCTTCTTGAACTGCTTTAGACAATTGTGGGCAATTTCTGGTGGAAAAACTGAATCTTCCTCTGATCAGGAATTAATGCAGATTTGCTGAATGACAGACGTGGTACAAGTCGTATCTATCTAGGGTCCCCGAGACCAGTATTCTCCCTCCTTTACCTGTCAGCTTGTATGATAAGAGGGTGCAGTAGCACTCGAGTGAAGTTCCATCGTAAATGGAAGTAGACGCTTTACTTTATCCCATATCACTGTTGATCATTTTGAGATGGATTTCTACATACTCGAGTGGTATTCCTTATTGCCGTGGTGGCGTTCATGGACGTATCCGAACAATTTAATCTATTTCCCATATAATTTACTCAATTTTTCATGGCACCATCTATCTTTAATCAAAGTCTGGAACAACTACCGAGACTTGATATGGGGTGTATAGCCAGAATAGCGGGGTCCTCTTAGTATAAAATGGAAGGTCCTGCTGTGTCTGAGTTGGATGGTTGAAACTTTGATATCTTTAGGATCTTGATTTTGCCTTTGATTTCTGTTTTTAACGAATCATGGGTTTATCGACATTCGCGCTCGTCGCACTACTTTCGCAGTATGTAGTTGCGCAGACGGGAAATGCTCGTGGATCGGATTTCCTACGATTTGCCTGCTCTCAGCTTGTAGTCGAACGTACAGATCCTCTCGTCTCACCGGGAGTTATCCCGTCGCCGCATATGCATCAAATTGTTGGTGGAAGCTCTTTCAATGCCACAGTATGGAAGTTCCCTTCTGTCTTCTGGGAGATGCTAATTGCAATTGTCCAGATGGATCCATCAGAGATCAATCCCCCGGCGGTATCGAAATGCACATCGTGCAAGATGTCCGAGGACTTTAGCAACTATTGGACTGCATCTATTTACTTCCGCTCACCCGAGAACGGAACCTACAAGCGGGTTCCACAGATGGCAAATGGTCGTTTGAATGGCACGTTGATGGAACAATCCGCGGGTATCACAGCGTACTACATGCGACCATTCAGCGGCACCAACAAAAAAGTCACCGTCATGCCCGCCGTAGGTCTTACAACCCCCTTCTCCCAGACCCTCTAACCAACAAACACCCAGGGCTTCCGCATGCTCACCGGCGACCCAACCCTCCGCACCAAGTCTAGCGGCCCCAAAACCATCTGCCACCGCTGCCTCGCAAAGAGCGAGCGCATCGGCGGCGGCTCCGGCGCCCCCTGCGACTCGAACGACTTCTCCGAGTTCCCCAATAAGCCCTGTCCAGGCGGTATCCGCGCCACCGTCATCTTCCCCAGCTGCTGGGACGGCAAGAACCTCGATAGTCCCGATCACCGCGCCCACGTCGCGTACCAAGCGGGCTCCGTGCTCGCGGGCGATAAGTGTCCTTCCTCCCATCCGGTTCGTATTCCGCAGGTTATGTATGAGATTATGTATGATACTAGTGCGTTTGCGGATCCGGCGTATTATAGGGATGGGAGGCAGCCGCTTGTTTATAGTTTTGGGGATAGGTGAGTTTTCTTCTTCTTTTGCTTCTTCCTAAGTCTTTGGTTCTGAGCGATGAGTTGGTTAGTGTTTGGGGTTCGCTTGTCGCTTATACGTACGTACTTACTTACTTACCCTTACTTACTCTTCTTGCTACCTTTAGGACAGGCTACGGCGCCCATGGGGATTACCTCTTTGGATGGGAGGATGGCGCGCTGCAGCGGGCGATGGATGGACTGGGATCGACGTGTTTTAGCGAGACGTGTCCGGTGTTGAAGTTGCAGAGTTGGGATAGTACTAATGGGTGTGTGAAGCAGCAACAGGCTGTTGAGGATGTGGGGAGTAGTACTTGTAGGTGTTGAGTTTCTTTTTTTCTTGTGAGGTGTGTGTTGGTATTGACTGATTGTGCTTTTTAGGGCTTAAGGAACTTCCTGGGGGTGTTACTGTTGATTAGCTTGGACGGTGATGGGGGGAGGGGGAGGGAGGCTTGAGAGGGGGATGTAGGTGTTGGAGGATTGTGGTTCTTGTGGTTGGTGGGTGTTTTTTATGATGTAGTCTTCTCTGAACCATACTCCCAGTGGACAAGAAAAATGGCAGAGATTTATATTTTAACTATTAGCGTAAGTTGATTCTAAGTACTGAAATGTTTAAAATATCTAGAACAATTGCCTTTATTATACTATCGTTTTCGAGAAATTATTTTTAATTACTCCAAGAAAATGACATAATATAATAGTTTTTAGTTAAGTTAGAACAAGATAAAAGAGGTCTCTGCCACTTTTCTTGTCCACTAGGAGCCATATTATCCTACTAAGTGGTTGCGACCATGTCTTTCACTTTACTAGGATCTAGTCGGTAATCAGCACCTGAAATCCAATTTTTATTACAGGATTTCTCGACTATATCGGCGCCGCGGCTTTTCTCATCCCACTCCTATACCCATGAGATATAACCTAAGTATCGCAACATCTACACGTTGTTTGCTCACGTGACCTAGCACTGTCATATAAGCGTTTCTAGTCTAGCTAACTATCTTCTTCCTTAAGCAATAAGACACCAAATCAAGGACCTGGTTACTTCAACCCCAATAGCTTCTTTACGACTACTATGTCACCCAACACTAAGTAAGTGAATAAATCAAACCACAGCTCACTCTAATCCACGCTTAAGCTTCACCCTATCCATCCATAACATCCCACAAAAAACTCCAAAAAAAAAGTGTTTGTAAGGAAAGACCTGGATTATCCAATAATCTGCAGAAAACGGTCCCCAGTAGGATTTACTTGGACTTCTAGATTGGAACAACGACAGGTCGATGGACGGAAAGAAGACACGGTACTCGTCTCCGAAGGGGAGTTGAACCCCGGCATAATGGACGCTGTTTTTTACCGCTGGGCCAGGCGGACTTTTCCTAGGTGTGGAAGGTTCTTATTTGGGGTTATGAGGGGGTGTGATGTGGCTTTGGGGGATGGGGGAGTGAATGGGG